GTGTCACACAGGTACTGGCAACTGTTAGTGAATGGTTTTTGGATATTAAGACGAAGTGCAATAAAGAGAAGGGTCCCCGGAAACTGTGTGTGGTGTAGAAGGAGAAGTGCTAAGCCAGAGTGTCAGCTGACGGCACCCATGCCGACGGCTAGAGTTGAGATGCACAGCAATCCTTTCTCTTCAGTAGGTGTTGACTATTTTTGGCTGATAACAGTAAAACAAGGTAGGAGACATGAAGGGGCGATATGGTTCGATGTTCACATGTCTCAAATTGCGAGGTGTACATTTAAAATTGACGCATAACCCATCTATGGACTCCCTGTGGTGGCACGGATTAGATTTGTTGTTAAAAGAGGATATCCCAGGGGAACATCTAGTGACAACAGGACCGATTTTGTAGGAAAGATAAAGGAATGAGATAGTTGTGTCAAGAGTTGAAAACAAGAGGTAATACAAAGCATGTTAGTAAGAAAGGGTATAGACTGGCATTTGAACTCACTGGCTGAAAGCCATCGGAGTGGTGTTTGGGAGTGTTTGATTCAAGCTATATGTAGTGTTTTAGGTGGACTGGTTAATGGGCAACCGTTGACTGATGGAAGCCTTGTGACTTTATTGATAGAGGCTGAAGGTATTATATATAGAAGACCTCTGGTTTCACTCACCTCAGATATTGAAAGCCTCCAAATGTTAACACCTCCTGAGCCACTACTACTGAGAGACAACACATCAAGTATTAGCGTAACTCACTTTAGTAATACGTTCTCCAGAATGTGGAGAAAAGCCAAATATTTAGCAGATATGTTTTGGAAACTTTGGCCCAAGACATGTCTTTTTGTTACGATGACGATATAGATGGACGCAAACAAGTGGGAATGTGCAGACTTGATCATTAGTTGTCGTAGTAGTAGACTTAACTGGGAGGAATCAGTGGACACTCAGGTTTGCGCAACGGGTGTTGCCTAGTAAAGATGGTTTAGTTATACAAGTGGGGGTAAGGATGCCTAAGTGCTTGTAAGGAAATTCAAGGAAGTTTTCCTTTGGAAACCAGAGACCATAAGGCTCATTAGGGCGGTATTTAAGCTTTCTGTTGTAAGGCAGGGACACCCAAAATAAATAACTAGATTAGGGGGTTGTCGGGCGTACTTTTTTTTTTTAGTATATTCTCAATTTTTACATGAGGGACACCAGTTTACAGGCATCATCACTTCGATAAATTACACATACGATTAGTAAATATAGTTAGTAATGATAATATAATAAGGTACATATTTGTTCATACAAATATAGGAAAAACAAGTTCTATAGGAATGGATAAGAATTATTTAAGTTACATATTTAAATTACATGATTTACGGTTAAATAACATGGTTGCTGTCATTTTATCTTTAGTTTGTGGGGAAAATCGGATAACTGGTGATTCAATGGAACACACCAACAAATATAGAGATATTGACTTCGCATTAACAAAAAAAACCCAAGTATGCGTTGGATGGATTACATACACTTGGGAAAATAAATAAAGCTTGAAGTCAATTCCCTCATAAAACAATAAAATGCGTCTTACAATAATATATTCCCACTTTATGCACATGAGGGACTCCAGTTGACAAGCATCAACAATATGGTAATAATGCACACATGGAGTAAACATGTTTAAAATTTTCCACTAACACAAAATATATATACAAGGTAAGATAATGAAATATTGACCGTAAGTACACTCTGCATAAGTTAAAACAGTTTATATGGCATAATCCTAGGCACTATTATTGTTTGAATTTGTTGAACATGAGCGAAACAACTGAGTGTTGCGTTACATTCGGTCGATATGGTGGGCTAGTCACAAAAGTATAAAAATGGCTTATAAAACGTTACTCAGTTTACCGTAAACGATGTTTTAAGCAATATAAACTGCAAACGGCTCACTACAGCAGTTAGTATCCAGTTAAACATGCAGAGAAGTAATCATAATTCAGCAACTTGTGAATTTTTATTCTTTTCTGTCTGGAACCTGAGTAACTGCGAACCAATCCATACAAAAATGTCGAGAGAGGCATGCAGGAGCAGAATTTTGCCATCGAATGAGTCATTGGTATCTGAGATGCAGCTATCAGCATATTTTCGTCATTTCATAGATATCCAGATTTATTGACGCTGTATAGGTTGTGATTTGGATTTGTCATCATGGTCGACATATGGACGAATATTCAAAATCGGAATACAACTTGTTTGCCTTTCGGATTTACTTAATTACATCGCGTGTTGGGTTTGATTACTCTGCGATTTTGATATATTCCGCGGTGTCGCCGTGATTATGAGAAGTGTGCATATGCTTTAAATGCATTACTTTGTTGGCTGCAATCCCCACTGAGTGTATACAACGGGAACTGTGGATTTATGTATTTGCTCATAACTATGGATAAAATATCGCCGCATTCCTTTCGGAAAGGAGACCAGTTGGTGGATTATAAATAATGTCCAAGTAACTTATATCCTTCCATGTGATGTTGTGGTAAGTCTCGACCTTGTTTTCTCATACTTCATTCATATGTTGATTATGGTTCAGGCTTTGTATCAGGTAGACATAATTCGATCGACTCTTATTTGTATGAGTGTTATTTTCATGACTGCTGCTTGTTTGTCTGAAATTATATATAAAGGCAAAAGAAACAACAGGTGTAGTCTCTAAGTTCATACATTAAATGGGCCTATAATTTCTGAAGCTCTTACATGGGAATTAGCACTGGTATCACTTACAAACCCACTTAGTGTGTCATTAAGAGCTTTTTCAAAGGACACTAGTGAGCTTGCTAGTCGCATTTCCTCAGGTAGTTTGTTCCATATTTGGGCATACCTAATCATGAAAAATTTTTGCCTGGTGGCTGTTTTACATTGTTCTATAGCCACCGTACCTTGAGTGTGTCTAAGGTTATATCCAGTGTCTTCTGAAAACCGAGTACAATTAGTAGGGGTATACACTATGTGGTTAAGTAGTTTATAGAAGAGTACCAGATTTAACCGCAGTCGTCTTAACCATAATGTTTCTAGTCCTAGAATTTCACATCTGGTAGAGTAGTTTGTGCCGTTTTCGGTTCCGATTACTTTCAGCGTGAAGTACCTCTGTACTCCTTCTACTTTTAGTTTGTCTTCTATGCGTATACTACTAAATATGAATGAACAATAGTCTAGGAGTGGGCGCACACAAACCTTGTACAGTAGTATTCTGGATTCACTTCTGTAGAAGTTCCTGAGTAGGAAACCAATAAGCCTGCGTGATTTCGATACTTGTTTCGAGATATGTTCAGAAAATGATAGATTTTGTGAATATGTCAGTCCTAGGTCTAGCACAGATTTGAGTCTAGGGATTTTGTAGCCCTGAATTGCTAGGTCGAGTTCTAGGTTGGGACAGCCTATGCAGAGCCAGCCACACTTTTCGACATTAAACTCAAGTCTCCAGGTGTCACACCATATATCCATTTTTGTTAGTTCTTCATGTATGGAGTTCATAGTTGTACCGATATCTGTGTTTGTGCAGGTATATGTCACCTTTAAGTCATCTGCATACAGTATTGGCTTGCCTATACTAAAGCACTCACATATACTGTTTATGTATATAATGAAAAGAAGGGGTCCCAATACACTCCCCTGGATGACACCACTGCTAATCGGCCTAGGCCTGGAGGTCATCAAGCCAATTTTTGTTGTCTGATTTCTGTCACTGAGAAATGATTTTATCCAGTTGTGGAGGGGGTTGCGTATCCCTAGTGAGCATAGCCTGCTGACTAACAGACTATGTGGGACTCTGTCGAAGGCTTTCCTGATATCGAAATAGAGGATAATTACTAGTTCTCTCCTATCTCTTCTATAGGTGACTTCGTTGAAAAAGTCTATATGGCAAGTGACGCAAGATCTTTTCTTAAGGAACCCGTGTTGTGACTGGTTGATGAGTTTGTGTTTTAGAAAGTAGTCTGACATTTGGTCTTTGATTACTTTCTCCATGATCCTTGATATAACAGGTGTTATATTGATAGGCCTATAATTACATGCACTAGTTTTGGTCCCTCCTTTATGCTTAGGTAGTATATACGTGTTTTTCCAAGTTTCAGGGTAGGTCCCAGTCACTAGTGAGAGGGTGAATATTCTAAGTAATAGTACTATCATATCCGAGCCACCGTTTTTATAAATGATAGATGGTATATCATCTATCCCACAACTACCGTTAGCTTTTAGTGTCTTTACCGCTGATGCTATATTTTGCATATTAAAGTTGATTTCACCTAACTCGTAGTTATTTTTGCAGGTTATATCGAGGATTGGAGACGGATGCGCTTCGGTGTTATTGGAGAACCATTGGTTTAGGAGTTCACAAATAATCTGGGGATCATCATAAATTATACCTTCATGCTCCAAGTGGCCAACATTATTTTCTTTACCCTTGTTTAGTCGTTTTTGCAGGATCTTGCAGAGTTCCTGAGTTTTAGAGGTGCCCCCTAGGGCTTTATTTTCCTCGAGTTGTGCCTTCATTTTATGTCTCTGCTCAAGATTTTTAAATGTTTCATGTATCTGGTGTAATGCACTAAATTCTTTATATAAATAAAATTTCCTCTTCAATTTCCTTAGTTTTAATCGCGTTTTGCGGTCTATGAAAAGAGTTGGTGTCCTTAAGGCAGACTTTAGGGGTGCGATTGTATCTCTTACCGAACTGACCGTCTTGTAGAAGGTATCAAGTGTTACTTCTAAGTTATCATTGGTAAAGTATTCATCCCAGTCAGAGCTTCTCAAGAGCGTTGGTAGGAATTCCCAGTCGGCATTTCTATAGTCCCTATATTGATAGTGAACCGGGGAAATTTTAGGTGTGTGTTTAGTTATTAGTTGAAGAGGTAGGGTGCAGTACAGTATGTTGTGATCACTGTTGTCGAGTTTATCCCCCACCTCTATCGAGATCGGCTCTATTTTGTGGCAGAGGACTAAGTCGAGAATATTGTTATGTCGTGTTGGGAGGCGTACACACTGCTTCCATCCTCCTACATCTATAGCTTCTAGGAGCTCGTCATAGATTCTAGGTCCAGTGCAGGTATCCCAGTTCACTCCGGGGAGGTTAAAATCGCCACAAATTATTTTGTAGTCGAATTCCAGGGTAGGTACATGCTCTAGTATTTCTGCGATAACCGTATCAGTCGTTTTAGGGCTGCTGGGGGCTCTGTATATACATCCCACTAGAATTTTATTTTCATTCGTGTGGATGCTTATCCACTTAGATTCTGGGAGTTTGTCGATAGTTAGGTTTGTAAAAGTATTGGGGTCAGTAGATTTAGAAGCATATATTAGACACCCGCCTCCTCTTTTGTCCACTCTATCATTCCTGTGGATGTCATAGTTATCGATTATCAGCTTTGTGTCAGGTATATCATTAGTTAGCCAAGTTTCAGTTACCAGAATCAGTGTTGGCCGTCTCATGTATACCAAGCTGCGAAGGGAAGTTATTTTGTTAAGGAGAGATCGAGCATTTAAGAGCATAATTTTTAGAAAACCAGTTTTGTTGGGAGGGTAATTAGTGGGTTTTCTTGTTACTATCCCTAACTCCTGGTAGCCTATGTTATGTTCCGAGGGATTCTCAGATGAGACATTGTCAGTGTGTCTACTATTCCCTGAACAAATTGTGCTGCAAGAGGGGCTATTGTTTGCTGCAACCGAAAATAATCCTGTTGCATATATTGGTTTCTGGCCTCATTACGTGGGTATCTGGAATCATTCCTTGACATTAGATAATCTGTTTCACTATTCAGATTGTTATTTACAGGGCCGAAATAACCTGTTTCTAGGTTGTTTTGAGGGTAGTGCGTGCCAAGTCTCTCGCAGTTGTACATTTGTGGACTCATTTCGTGCATGTACATAGAAGGACCGTGATTCAATCTATACCCGTTATGCTGATGGGGATTTACATAGCTACTATGAGGGTCCGAGTATGCATTTCCATCCATATGGTACCTAGTGGTGTCCCGTCTAGTAGCCCATGTGTTTTGATTATTTATTCTGGGTCCCGTTCTCAGGTTATATGAGCCCATAGGCATATTACAACCTCGGCTATTACGGAAATCGTGGGTCTGACCCTGTTGTTTAATCAGCTCGGCTCCTCTTGCGTGTCTGCTAGAGTGTGATTTTGTGTGGATAGAGCTATATTTGCTGTTAGTTTTGACCTCGTATAGTCTGTCATCCACAGTTTGTCTACCACCCTTAGTTCGACGAAGAGCACTTCCACCCTCGTGTTCCGTCTCCTTTATGGGACCTGCCGTAATGCGTGCATAGCTCTTTTTTAGGCTTACATGCTGCTTGTTGGGCTTGTCACAAGGGAGATATGTGGACGCCTGTGGAGAGACCCTGGTTTTAGGGGACTTCTTTTCAGCTTTTACAAGGAGATTACCTTGCTTGGCCCTGGGTGCAGTGTTATCTGCCGATATTTGTAGGTTATCTGTCACAGAAGCATCTATGTCTACCTCATGTGCGGGGTCGGTAGCTTTCCTAGGAGTGTTCTCAAGAACTTTGAGACTCATTCCAGTGTTACTGCCCTTTTTGGGTTTCCCTTCACCTTCGCGTGTCGCTTGTTCACCTAGTACAATGCAAGTGTCACTTTGTGCTTCAGTGTCCTTCGATACTTCGGCACTGATGCTATTCATGATTTGTGGTATAATCGTCTTCGTATCTAAGGTATTTTTAGCTACCTGTCGTTGGCTGGGGGTTTTGTCCGAGACTATCTTAACATTTTTGAATTTCGTGGTGGAGGTCAAAGTATCCCCAGATTTCCTAAATTGTTCTGCTATTATACAGCTGTCAAACCTGAAAAGTATGGGACATGTGCGGTTTAACTCTTTTTTATTTAGTCTGATACACTGACAGGGTGTACTTAAGAGGTTTGCAGCCCTTAACAAGGAGTGCTGAACCGACTTTATGGGCTCATTGTCAGGTATGTTGTACACTATGGCGTTCTGTTTGGAAGCAAGTCTCTTAACAACTTCGCTCGATAGATAGTCCATTGCGTTCTCTAGCTCCTTAACATGTTCCATTTCAGCATCGGTTGGCTTAGTCTTCAATTTAAACAGTTTTAGGAAAGTGAGATCTCCCAGTTCTTTTTTAAGATGGAAGATTGTTTCTGGTACCGGGTCAAGTAGATTTAGTTTCGTCCTAAGGTCATTTATTTGTAGCTGCATGTCGTTTATGATAGAGACTAAGTTACTAATCTCTGCCTTTGCTGACAGGATATCTTCCACCTGTATTACAGGGGTTAGCATTATGTTGGAAGTATTTGTATTGGGTGAACTACTAATTATAGCTGATTTTAGGGGTGATAATACGTTACTAGATAAGCTTAAGCTATTTTCTAGATTACTAGAGTTCCTAAGAATACGTTTGTTAGAGTTTTTGCCCATTATTATTTGTGATAATATAGCAGAACTGAAAAATGAATATCAGCGAAAACACGTGCAAAAGTGTCACCAAATTCGAACGTACCGCGAGGTGTGTAAGTCCTGCTAAGCAAGGGTAGTGTGTATTAGTTAGGCGTGTACTTGCTCGTGTTTGTGCAGGAATTGCTTGTAGGGGTATAGGGAGTGCATGTGATTTGCTATTAAATTTTTTCTAATTGTTTGCAGCTGATCCTGTGAGCGTGTTTTGAAAACTATCCAGCTGGTTGATTGAGTTATGTAAGATGTATCGCATCATTGATTTTTTGGAAGGAAACTAAGGCTCTTTTCACCAAAAGTCCTACTGTAAAGAAGAAAAGACCGATGAGGCACGAAGGAATGTTTATTAGGACAAACGCATTGTGCATAAATTTGGCATACTTCATCGTTTAGTCTTTATTTGCACATCATTTGCAAATTGGCCAAATATCAGTACATTTGATAGCTTGTTGGATTCCGCACAGTTCTCTTCTCCGATCGCTTCTCCCAGTGCCTTTTTTGAGCTCGTTTGCGGGTATACTACTTATATCTGGTTTCCTCTCATACATTAGCTGGGAGGGAAATTTTTTGTTGTCCCCTATGGCCCAATATGCTGATAATATCAATGGTGGTGGATCGGTTTCCCAGTTGCTTCTCTTCGCGGCTAGCCATCCTTTGAGTGCACGACTACTCCTTTCTGTTAGGTCGCTTGTCTGAGGATGATATTGTGTTGTTCTAATTCTCTTGATACCCAATACCTCCAGATGAGTCTTGAACTCCTCACTCTCAAAACAAAGACCTTGATCCGTCAATACCATCGTCGGTATTCTGTGATTCGCCTCGGTTACGGTCTTGGTGCGCTGATTTGGAACAGCCACGCCATTTACCCACTGCTTGGCATATTCCCTCATCATACTATTATTATACTATTATACTATTATTATTATTATCATTAAAATGTATTGACTCCCACTAGGTGTTTGAGGGAAAGGACCCAATATGTCCAGTGGCGGCTGTCTTAATAGTGGCATCCGACTCCTAGTGGCTAACAGGTTGAAAGGGATCTTGCTGCAAAGCGTTTACTGAGTATGCTACCTCTGGTAGTTCGGCCTCATTTTCTAATCTCAAAAAGCAGTCAGTTATTACATTTTCTTCTCCTGGAATCTGTCCGATCGTAAAAACATACTCTAGTAGGCGCAACATCCATCGTGATAATTTCCTTCGTTGGTCCCTACATGGGTTTGTGGTCGGTCACAATATGGAATCAGGTACGTTCTTCATTTTTCTAATGCAAACACAATGGATAAGCACCCCTTTTCTGCAGAAGAATACTTTTTTATGCAACTGTCAACAAACGGCTGGCATATTCAGCAACACCGTCCATCTGTCTTAAAATAGCACCTATACCATAATCACTCGCGTCCGTCAAGAATGTGAACTGCTTTCTAGACAGTAACAATTTCAATGTCATCTGCTGACCGTCTAAGATTTCTTTAATTCGAACAAACGTTTGCTATGCCTCTTCCTTCCACTTGAATTTAGCGTCATTCAGTAACCTGTAAAGAATATATGTATATAGAATTTACATACATCTGTATGATGTCGTCCTTCCCAAAATCTGCCTCAATTGTCACTCTGAATTTCGTACTTAGCCGGTTTTGACAGCCATGCTTTTCTCAGGTTATGGTCGTATTTCTCCATTTTTCACTTTATAACCCAGTAGGACAACAGTGTTTTTGGCTATTTGGGGCTTGTTCCCGTTAATACGCAGTCCCGAAAGTTTCCTCAAAGTGTAGAGATAGAGATTAACAGTTTCTATCACTTTAACGTTAAAGTCTTAATTGTTGTTCATTATTATTTAACATGTTAATAAAAGGCGAACAATTCTGCTAAATATGAATTTCTGACTTGTGTCCTCTGCATATTATTCTCAGGTTTCCTGAGGCTAGTTCATTTTGGATCACAGTTACAAATAAGTATTGTATTAGGTTCAAAGATTTAAAGACATATTCCTATAACAATAGGCAGCCTTTCATGACGTTTATAAATCATACAACTTTTAACTGCATGACATATATGGACAATACTTAAGCTGACAATATTTTGATTAACCCTACAAAATGTCACAGCCCATATGAGAAAAATTTAGTGTTAATACTATATTTAAGAGAAAAAATGAGCTAGTTCTGAGCACCAGTCCACCACCATGCTGAGCATGTACACCCTTGGGGAGTCAGAGAAGTTCCTCAAATCAGCTGTACTTCAGCTGTCTCACCGTCGTCGCTGAATCTATCCATCTGTGTAGTCTGGAGCACACTGAGCACAAATGAGTTTTCAAAGAAGAAGATAGTGGCTGCGGTGTTCTGGAGTAATTGTTTGTCAATATACTGTCTCCATAGTACCGCTGATGAATAAAACTGTTCATAGGCGAATAAGATTCCCAGTGGAATGATTCCGGTATCAGTGATACATTTATAGACATCCTAAATTCCCATTCATTTGGCTGTTTCATGAGCATCGTCAGGTTCATTCACTAGCTCTTGATGGTTCCATATGCAGGCATACTATATGAAATAATTGCTGAAACCATGGGTAATAAACTCAAGCCTCCCATCCGTTAGGGGCGAAGTTTTCATTCCAGTGCATCTTTCGTTCTTTCAGGATGATGCAGATTAACATTATGTTTGCAGTGGAGAGAAACATGATTTCTAGCTGGTACTATCAAGGGCTTTCAGTTGTTCACCTCTCCGATGTCTGATTTTCTGTTTTCTCATGCTTCTCTTTTAGCAGATCAAAGAAGTTGGCCCATTCAGTTGAATCACAGCTATTCCTCTTTCAGCAGTCAATCTGTTTGTCTGTGCTGACTGGGTCAGACTGCTGACAACTGAACTTTGAAAGGGACAAGAGTGCACCCCTGAGTTGTGTTGTGATTATACACCTCTCCACTCTCTTCAGACTATTGTTAATACACAATAATTATATTCTCATTTGTTTGCACATCAGGGACGCTTGTTAACATGCACTATCGATATGTTAAATAATACATGCATGGAGTAAACGTATTAAGAATTATTCAATTAAACAAGATATACACAAGACGTGGCGGTTTCACATTACACAGGTGGGAGCAATGTACGCTGTTTCGTACGAGGCATCTTCATCGATCAAATTTCTTCTCCTGTCAACGAGCAAACGTCAAGGCCACGACAGGAATTGTTGCCTTCAACGGGAAGAGAACTGGTTCGAATAAACAAGTTCACTGAACGTCTACTCAGCATCCATCGTTATTTATAGATGTCAATTTATACTTGATTACAGAGACTGTCATTTATAAAGAAGAATAGTAGAATAGTGCAATTAACGCTGACTTGCATTACACCTCTGGTTACTGGCTTGGTTGTAGATAACTGGCGGTTGGTTTTGACCAATTGTTCTCTTCCGGTGAGAGAATTTATTTGGGTGAGAAGCTTTTCAGTTTTTCCGTGGGATTGAAGTTTGTTTAGTTGTCTTATATGTGGTGCTTTATCTATAGCTTTGCTAACCACGATGAATGATTTCGTTATTGAATTCTCATTAGTTATGAACTGTCTTCTGCCTCAAAATACCTTACTGGAATGAAGGTGGTAGGTCATCAGAAGGCAAATGCTGAATGATTTCACTTTTCACACTCTTTTAAGTTGTATGTGAAACCACGGACATGATGTTGGTGAGGTGGTGGTTATGAATATTGAATATAGGCCCGCACTTGTAAATGAGTGCGACCCGAAACTTCTTCCAGTAAGTGGGGTATTTTCGACCATATAAGGGACCCAAGTGTAGTTTGTGGAGGAGTGAATTTTTCTCATCACCGCAGCCTTTTCTGGAACGGGACATATACCATTTGAACCACTGATGGTAAGCTTGAGGGTTTGAATAAATTCATCCTTTTTTGGTGATGAAGACTGTCACTTAGGCGTTTGTATGTTGTACGATGGCGATCCAAAATTTAGTTCCGCCCTACACTGTGCAGTTTAGTTGGTCATACTAATTTTCCCCCAAGTCAAAACTAACATTGTTTTTTTGCTGACCAACAACACATGAATTCATCTGCAGAAGATTACCGATTCACCTTGCACTACTGACTCTGAATTTATTTCATCTTGAGCACTTATTAAATGAAAGTCCAACTGCTTTATCATGTTTCTTTTCATAATGAGATGACATCACGGGCGAAAATCTAACCCCACTTAAACAGGCGGGAATCGAAATGCTATTAGACAATCAGTAGCAACCTATCTATCACCTAGCTGTTACTGCCTACCTTTCCATGAGTTCTAATAGACATTTAAAAATTCAAGCAGGCGAACTGTGCGAGAGATAACATATATTTATCATATCAACCCAGTCAACGTTACTATGGATGGTATTGTTTACGCATGTACGGATTACGCTTAGAAAGGAAACGAACTTATAATATTATTGCAGTGTCTCGTTTAACTCGAATGTACTGAATGCAATTTGGGCGAAGTCAAGCAAAAATTACTCCGGGGGTAACTTTGATTTAGCCAAACAGCAGTTATTAACATAACTGGGTTTACGTTGTTCATTGTCATCATAAGTTATTGTTCACGGTATATCTGCCTAAACGGAAGTGCTTTTTAAAATAACAGGTGCGTGCCTGTTTGCACTTATTTACTTAGACTGCATTTTCATTGCCGTCAACCCCACCAAACCAAAATGTATAGTGGTGGTGTTTTAGACGTGACTAAGTATACCTGGTGACAATGAAAAGTCAACAGAACATAAGATGCTTGTTAGTGTACACTATTATCCTATTATTAACCTCCATATTAAGGAGACGAGAAGTGAACGTAAGATGCTTTGACTGAAAGCAACGCAGAAAGTTGAGGTAGTTAGCAAGCCTCAGGCACCTAAGAAGTACGCGAGCCCTAGGAATAAACTACATGCGTTAGACTCCTAATGTTGGTCAGCTGTTTATAGTCTGCAACATCTCTCGGTAGTAACCTCCTATATTCTTCTATACCCCAGAAATATCTCACTATAATTTGGAGGAAAGTTATAGGTAATATATATTTAGGCTCTGAACTTATGTTCCTTCAAATTCCAGAGTAGTATGCGTACATTTTGTGATCAAAGATACTATTTTTCTTAGATGCATATCGAGCACATTGTAACACGTTAATAAAAAGTGTTCACTGTACGTTATTTGGAATATGATGTCTGAGATACAATGATGGATCCATCAACTACAGTGAAAGTTAAGTGACCGTTTGTTTTATTAACTTAGTTACTCAAGTTGCCGGCTGAAAACACGTATTGTCGTGGAAGAAAGCCGTAATTCGAATATATCCAATATCGGTTTTACAAACTAGTGTAAACCAATTTGATTTCTTTGTGCTCGCTTCTTGATTGTGAGGTAAAGGTTCCTGGTCGTCGGTAAACTTCTGTGTAGTTCTTCTCGCCACTCAACTGTCGTAGCTTTGGTTGACTCCAAAAGTCTTGAAAGTTCACTTCTGAAAGTACAGTGGTGGGCGAATGAAGCTGTGAGAAATCATTAGACATACAGAAAGACAGCGGGTGGAGAAATACAGTTTATAAAGAAGATATAATTCATACTAGGTTGCCGGTCTCACCTTTTTGAATTTATTAATCGTCTCTAAATGAGTACAAGGTTTCGTGTTAAATAAACCCTGCAAAGGATATACCGTTTGTGTTTCAACAATAACCTTGTTTGTTTCGTGAACAATGTGGGTGAAATATACATTTGGAGAGTGGATTGTTAGGTATATATTAAAAATGAAGTTTACAAGTGCATAAAATGTTGTCGGCTCCAGGCTGTATGTCTACACGAAGGATAAAACTGATTGAGTGTCCATAATATTAACTTTATTCAGGACCAGGTGTCTGCATAATGTACAGGATTCTTATTGTGACTCATTATATGGCACTTTTTCTTTATCCATTATCTTGAAGCGATATGGAAATCTGGGGAATGGACTAATCACTCATGATACTTTCTCTATTTCCAAGATAGGCACACCTCCAGTTTGAGAGACAATCGAAAATATGCCCAAGTGCGTCAGGCGACCCAAGGATGTAACTAGGTGGTTAAAACCGTAAGAATTAGAGAGATTATTATTCAGTGAGTTGGGTGGAGATTCACGTAGCCAAGTGATTTAAACACACATCTAGATTCTTTTTTCTACGAATCTAAATTTCAGTAAAAGGACATTAAAAATTTAATTGGCTCAGTCTTGGACCATTTTGTAGGCTTACTGGTTTGAAAAGAAGATATCTCTGATCAATTATTTAAGTTCACCTTGGAACTTAGCGTTCACGACAGCGTAACATGCATATGAATAATCTAAGATGAATGGATGGAGCTTTATCCATGAGTTCTGATTAATTGTTTGAACTTGGGGTATCTTTCCTGTTTTCTGAACAGTAGGTCGTCTTCGCTCACAGAACATGCAGAAATAGTACAAAGGCTCCGAATATTCACATACATATTCGGCAATCACAATATGTGCTGCAGTTTTACAGTTGACTATCAAAATCTAACAGTCCGTCCTTCGTTTAGTTAAGCAAAAGCACACTGTTCAAAGTCATAAACATAGTGACAAAAAACTAACATAACTTTTCAGCTTCTCTATGAAGGCTTCAAATCTGAATCTTGTTTTAAACACATGATTTCAATGTTATTATCCAATTGTTAATGTAGAGATTTTGATTTCTGAAGGTTACTTCTCTTCTTTGCGCTTGAAAAATGAATGCGGGTTGGAATATTCCAGGATTTGTATCCTTGGGTCTGGTCAGCCAGAATAATTACGTGAATGTTCCTCTGAAGAGCATAAAAATCAAGTGTAAGATAGTCAATATGGTAGCAGATGTGGAAGCGGTGTTTACCTACGAGAACTCCTTAAAAGACCCTCTGGAGGCGACATTCATTTTCCCACTAAATGATGCGTCTGTGTATCACTTCGAGGCACAAATAGGGGACAAAAAGATAGTGTCTGTTTGTCGACCACGCCCAGAGGTAACGTTTAACATTCTGTATACGTATAAAGTACTCTGTTTTCTACTATCGAATGTCAATTTTATTAGCTATTATGAAGCGGGTAGATTGGTAGTGAGGTATTATTTTTTGATATTGGTTGAGCTTTTGTTTAGTTTGTCACATCACTCACCTCGGTACGAGGTGTTCAACGTACTTTATATTCAGTCATTGGAAAAGACGTAAACAGTGGAGAAAATTTTCTTTTCGACGGTTAACTTTCGTAAGCTGTACAACCGTAATTAAATTTAACAGAGAATTCACAATACCAATTAGATACTGACAAAATGTGCACATGTCCTCGAATACGTCTTATGTAGTCTAGAAGGAGTAACTAATTGGAAATTAGAGAAGGGCAGAAGTTGACTTGACGTAATTAGTGGGAGAAAATGACTCATCACTATAACTACCCAGAGTAGGCAGGAATTAGTGGAAAGATGATAAAGTTATTAACAAACAGTAGTGAAGTGATAATAAAATAAGGATGATGAGAGTAATAATAGTAAACTTACATAATAAAAGGAAGCAAAACTATGGTGAGAACGTTATCCTGGTCACGTTAGGGTGAGGGGATGTATTTGTTACTTTTTAATGCAGAGGTCCGGTTTTAGATCCCGAATAGCCATCAACGTTAGACTGGAATAATTGTCTGCTGGAGAACGTGATACGTAGGGTTGCTGCTGGAAATGTATTCTCTAGACATCTGGTTTGTAGTATCCCAGCTGACATTTTCATCAGACACACTGAAGAAATTTCGAGGCAAAATCTTTGGGCGCATTTCAAAAATGGGTTAGTTATATGCAGTCCGCCCCGAAGTTTCCGCAGTGTGCCCGAAGTCAATTCTAGCTGGGATGTGGTGTGTTAAGACCGTAGTGCTGCTGTGACCGAAGTTAGTCCCTAAACCTTTAACGCATTAAGATTCGGTTGTGTAAAGACTTAAGCTTCTGAGCCAGTTGACTCAGTTATGTCAAAAGATTTTTTTAATATATAGATAGCTTAACGGATAATTGTACGGTCCGTTAACGTTAACGCTAACCTCCTAAACCTAAAGTCATTCTAAGCTTAGCTTAACGCTAGCGAGATTTTAAGACCAGATCAGCTGCAAACTGTGAAGGCAAGACACACAACATTTGCGGTTAGTTGCATTATTTGTTCCTCCAAAGTAATTCTGCAGGGTCTCAGTTATACTTGCTGTCGTCTACCTTCACTGTACACAGAATTCAAATAATCTAAAAAATTGTCACTACAAAGCATTGAGATTGTCTAGACTCCGAAAGTCAAGACAAAATAATACAATATCCCAAAAATGACATTATAGATACAAATGAAGAGCTCATGTTTGATTATAGGCAGTAGGTTGTGTGCATTGCCTGGGTTAGTAAGTAGTTTTATCAAACAGTTTTGATGTGTAGTTTTCGAAGTTACTTAAAATTGTACAGACTCATGTCGGGAGGCATTATTTAATTTATGTGGATTCATTTCACCACAGTTCCAAATACCATCTGACTAATGGCAAATATAGTAAAATTAGGACATGGAACCGATCTACAGAGCACAGCTAGGTTTTAGCAGGTCTGTCGGACAACTAAAATGAGTATCGAACTACTGGGATACCTAGCTCGAAAATTGATCTCAGATATATTTAAGTCCTTCTACGGTTTAAACCTAAACATCGTATGCAATAGTTTCATTGGCTTCATAGGTCTTAAATATTTTATTTATTTTTATGTCATTTCTTAGATGAACTAACATGGAATACAGTAGTTTTGACTACAGTACTGTCACGTTGTTACCAGTCAGTGGATAACACAACCCTTAGAATATGAATAATTTATCAGTAAAAGTTGTTAGGTCAACAAGTGTCGAATTAATTATTCCGTCATCTGTTGTATTTGAATTAATTACAGGTGTGAAGCAACTAGGTAAAATCAGAGGGCGGCATAAATTGCACTTATCTCTTGAAAATACTTGATCAGTCAATGTAACTTTCAACTATTAACTTGTGATGTATTTATTTTTAATGATACCAAGAGGTGGCTGTTTTATCACTAGTCATTTTCGGTAGTTTAGCTCATACTGTCATTCGCATAAAATGTTTCCATATTCCCTAAACTAGTGTTTGTTTTCTAATGATTACTTGTAGTTAAATGGTTTTTAGACTTAATGGCTATTTTTTAACTGTATTCAAGGCGAAAGAAACGTATGATAGTGCCGTAGAAGAAGGACATACGGCAATTTTAGCTGAGCAGAGCGAACATTGTTCTGACGTGTTTCAGATGAACATTGGTAACATACCACCAAATGGAACAGTCATATTGGTTCTCCGATATGTGAACGTACTGGATGGAAAAAATGTAGAAACTGATGAGAAAAAATTCAGCCACGCAGAAATCACTCTTACTTTACCAAGTGTCATCAATCCACGGTATTCTCCAAAAGGTAATTTATTACACGTATAATATTTGTCTAGAACAAAAAATACCCAGTGAATGTGGAGGCCTCATGGAACCCGTTCTAGTGAATTCTGTGCCTTACACAATAACATTTGAAGCTGAGTTATCGATGTCAAGCAAAATTCTGGATGTTAAATCAACACATGACCGTTTCATTTTGGATCGTTCAAATGATGTCTCCAATGCAAATGTGAGATATTTGAAATATATTTATTTTTTATACATTTTTGTATTCAAATTTTTTGTGTTTATTGCTGTTTTAGTACTATTATTACTATCTAACAATCCTTGACTTGTTAACTGTAATATCTTACTTGGAATTTTGGTTATTTCATAAAAACGGATGGAAAAGTCTTAAAACATGTCGGTTACCCCCAGAAATGTGTGGTGTTGTAGATGATTGTTTGAACTACAATTGACTTCTCTCCTATCCACTTCACAAAAATATGGAATTTCACGCTTTTCTACAATCACTTTTCAATGATATATCTCCATGTAGGTGGAATAAAAGTTATAGGCTGACAAATTCCTCTAGTAGCAGACGTAATCATTACTGCTATGTCATGTGTGGAAGTGTGTCAAGATACATATGTATACACTTCAACCGTTGCGAATTAGTCTTTTGGAACATAAAATTATCAGAACGAGATTCAGAAATGCTGTTCTTGTTAAATGACAAATTCAAGATGAACCTACTGACAGTAATAATTTTTATTGTAAATGATTGTCTTGGAAATATATGATGCATAAACTTATGTAAAGTTAGGTTTTTCTGTAGGCTTTATCAGTAACTGTGAGTAGGGATGACATGGTTACAAAGCACACAGTTATAGAAGTTCCCTTTCATGATATAAATTTTGTTGTTGATGTAAGTTTTCGCTATCTTATATTTTTTATGAAAGTGAATTATTTTCTAGTGGTCACGCTATATCGTGAGTTAGAAGAAGTTTGAGCTCATGGGCCGGCCATTGGATTGGGTCCCAGTGGCTTAATGGTTTACGAGCTCGCCTTGTAACCAGAAGGCTCCAGGTTCGAACCCTAGTGGATGCGTATTTCCAAAGAGTCCCAAGCTAGGGGGAAACAGCTGTCCAGTACTCCCTGAAGGTTTTCCAATGGTTCTCTAACCGATGTCAGCTCATGATGAAATCCTGTAACCAATCAGTTAAATCCCTACAAACCAATACTTGAATTATTCTCATTTATAAGGTCACTATTTTAAATATTCCGAGAAATGTGAAATACTTTGCACTTATTTGAGACTTAACAAACTCGTAAGTTGTATTCCTCCTGTCTTTGTACATTTAATAAAAGTAAATACTGAATATGTTTTACACATTTGTTATCTTTTTTAATTAAAAATTAAGAGAATCTTAATTATGTTCTCAGGTTAAACTGGCTTCCGAATTCATACCTAATCATGATCTTCAAATGGTCATAAGTCTTTCTGATTCACTCAAGTCACTTGCTTCTCTGGAATATGGTGATACAAATGAATCATCGATACTGGCCACAAACTGTTTAATGGTACAGTTTTTACCCGAATTTTCTGAGGTCAATGCTACTAAGAAAAACAACAGTGAAATTGTGTTTTTAATCGATCGTTCAGGTTTGTCGCCGTCGTTTCATAACTGTTTAATATAATTATTATTTTCGACTACCACTATCCTATATTAGAAAGGCAGTCGTGTCAATAAACATGATTTACTTCCATATAATAGGTACAACGACCATTTAGAAACTAAGCGAATTAATGAGTTTGGCTTTGTCGAAGTGTTTTATTCTTCACACTTTTTGCAGGTACACTTATCGATTGCACTTTCCCTTTCATAACTTAAGCTGTAGTTATTGAAAATTCACCAACATCACACTTTCTCCCACATTACACCATACTTTTTGTTTCACTTCTCATAATCCTTACATATATACATGTAAATATTTTTAGTTGATATGGGGATTTGGCGTAAGTTGCTGACGTCTAGCTAATGGGTTGGGGACCATACTCCTACTTGATTATTGCAGCATAAATAACGGGATAGTATCACGAATTTTGAAGCATTTAAGTGTGACTCACACTTGAGTACACAAATCTATGTCTAATTACTAAGTTGCATTAATTCATTCATTTCTATAGTTTCACCTCATTTACAGCCACGAGACTATCGTTTGCGCTATAAGGTGGCTAAATAATAAAGCTTATATTGTTAGAAGCTGAATATTCACTTATCAAATTGTAATATTCGTGCAGTTTAATAAAAAAAAATACACCCTAAAAATGAAAATATTTTCATTGATTAGGAAAACAGATATCATAGTAGAGAAAGCAGTTTTCTTTTAGATCTTTGGAGAATAAGTTCGCTATCAGAAACAATCAGATAATTCCCGTACGTCAAATGTGCTGGCGTCTTTTCCCTGTTGATCATAAGGTGATAAGTTGTTTCACAATATATTTATCTAAAACATACCACTACTTAGGTTGGCTTGTGAAGTTGATGCAAGTGTATAAATAGTGCTTGTACGTTCGTAATAGTTTCGTAATTTTCATTATTACATTTCAATATGTAAATGTCTTATCATAAATTTTACATCGTGTTTACTGAAATTTACAGGCAGTATGCATGGTGATAATATTTCTTACGCTAAAACCTCCTTACTTCTCTTCCTGAAGAGTTTACCTGTTAAATGCCGCTTTCAAATTATTGGCTTTGGATCTAGTTTTGATTCCTTATTTCCAGAGTAAGCTTTTGATTTAACTTAAATTCACTGATATAATAAATGATTCACCAGCTTTCTATGTTATTCATATAAAAAAAAGAACTAATCATTAAAGCTTTTCGGCAACTGCTATTGTTTCACTCGACTTACATCCTTGAACATATTTCAACCTTAAACCTCTTTGAATTATAAATCAGAATCAGCTATAGAAGTGTTATAAACCAGGGGATAGCGTATAACTGTCTTATTTCAACTTTAGACTCTTCAACTGTACATATAAAATCAATGTTTATATGCTTCTTCGTTTTCGATGGTTATCCAGCTGCTGTTTGTTAGTAATAAAAAAATAATCTAATATCTTGAAATACCTTCTATTCCTCGTAAAACTTCCATTTCACTGTAAATATTGTGTTGTTTAGCATTTATTTATTAACTGCTTGGCTATAAGTTTGGCATTTAAATCTGTATTTTCCTTGTAAGACTTCTTGTAGTTTTAGAAGTTAACTACTTCGCTTAGAACTGACGGTACTGCTGAATTCGGGACTGATCACCTGAGCTTTTTGAACCCTATTTTGCTACTTATTACATATTTCATGTAGTCAAATAAGGTCTATTGGGTGATATTTTGTAAATTATCGACAACGTCACCGTCCTTTATTTACCGTCCTCATGTATTAAACATATTGTCCAGTTTACTCGATAAAAACGTTGTTCTCCGTGATTAGCTGTCAACACCAAGACACTAGGTAAACGTAGAGAAGAAACTCAAATTAGTCAAATGTTTTTAAACAGTCAATTTAGATGACCTACATTAAGAAATCTTCAGAGTGAAGAAAAATGATCAGTGGGTTGGCTTCTAAAGCCGTGGTCCATTATTTCATATCCCCTAATACATGTCATTTATACACTGGTTATTACCATATAACTTATGCCTGTGAAAAATGACATTGTTGCGTTACGGTTCTGCCATGCAAAAATGACCTAATCTACAGTCTTCAGAATATAAGCAAAATGCTAATACTTCGGGTAGGCTTTGTTATCTGACGAATATTAATTAATGCCAATAGGGTTGAACCACACTATGTGTAGCCTAAGGATAGCGACTGAGGCAGTAAAATACACTAAGGAGTTTCATCATTTGTGAAAGGTTGGCTAATGACAGAGCTTTGTACGTCTGACTCAGATAAGGTGTCTTACTTTTAAGTAAAGCGAGTTTACTGTTCAGTGGTCCTCTTTGTTGCACTGTTCAGATGTGGAATATAACAAAAGTGGGGTGATATCAAGGAAATGTAAGTTTTTATTGTTTCTTATTATGCTATTCTCTTGTACTATAGGACAAGAGATACTGGATTTAAAACCAAAGTATGATGTAATGGTAATTCAATCGATTTAGTTAAGAATTTTTGTTGACTTAAATGGCTGATGAATAAGTTCATAGTATACTATCACATACCCACCGTAAGCGTTATGTAACCTTTGCTTGAAAGAAAACTAAAGGCAGTCGGATAATCACATGGTATCAATCGATTAAGTTCAAGATTTTTCTTCTGAGTGGTCTACAAGTTTTCAAGCTGCCTGATAGGTATCTTCATAGTGCCAAGATTTATGGATCAATAGGTGTTACAAAATTCAAAATTGATAACAGTGGTGCAGATTATTTTATTCGCTTAAATTTGTCTATTCTCTCCTCCCCCCTTAAAATGTTCTTTTTCGTCCTGATACCATTCGGCTTCTACTCATTTTGTGTTTTTAATGCTTTTGTGTAACGTTACACTTCTGGCTGAAGTTCTATTCAGATATATCTATCCAGCAGATCATTACACAACATTGGTGGCTTATGTCTTGTTAATATCTGTCTGTTGGGTTAACTGATTTCAAAATCCCTCATTTGTCCCTCATACTAAAAAAATTCAAATTTGAGAGGCATAAATGTTATTTTTTGTCTTTCCTATCAGTTCAAGTTCATTTAGGCATAAAACAGTGATTGATTTCATGGATTTAATTAATTTTATTTATTCTACTGAGAAAGCTGCATGATTTTACAGTCTTTCTGTACTGATTATTATTATTATTATTTTATTATTAAACAGACCAACAGACTATTGTGAAGAATCGTTAAATAAAGCACTTAAATATCAGGAAGCATTAGAGGCTGATATGGGTGGTACAGAAGTTTACAATGCTTTAAAATCAGCTCTTAATTCATCAACGAGTGGTGAAGGCTGGTTCAAGCAAATCATATTTCTTACTGATGGTGATGTTAACAATGCAGACGAAGTAAGTTTTTAAATTTTATTTGACCTGATAGACATATACTCTCTGTTTTTTAACCAAAAAAATGTCTCAGTTTTCTATAAAATTTAACAGGTATACACAATAATAATAATAATAATAATGAACGGTTAGTTATTTCAGAATGTAAGACTTATGAAACCAGTTATTTGTTGAGTGTACGTGTTACACTTTTTGTGGCCTTAAAAAATTACTTTCAAACATTTGTTCTTTGAAATGTCGATATTAAAATAAATTGAAAGTAACTAGATTATACATTATTGTTACTTCTAATAAATTTATTCAAGCTAAACAAAAATATACTTCTAATATATTCAGGTCATTAGAACTTGTATCTATTGTAGAATTATACTGAATAGAATGCATAAATTAATAGTTTCAAATCCGTTCATAAGTAATATGAATCTCTAATATAGTGAAGTACTTGATCTACTCTAAATAATATCGATGGCTATCTTTACAATTGGATTTTATATGTTACAATTTTAACATATGCAACATACACTGGATAACTGATACTTTTTTGTACATGATTCCAAGTTCATAAGTCATTCATTCACTCCTGTCATACGAAATGAACGGAGCCATGTCATCAAGATGTAGTATAAATGTTAGCCTACAGTATGTGGGACGGTATTCTAATAATTGGTGAAGGATTAACCCATGATCGATCGATTGATGACCCGAACGAACCCAGTGACTAACGCATGCATTTCATAAACCTTTTTTCAATATTGGCATTATGTGATAGTGTCATTCTACAAACTAGGATGTTAAACTGTTTAGTTAATGGAGATAACTACAATTCTGTTCACACAACCATATCTTCTTTTGTAGCATCATTTTCAGGCAATAAAAAGTGTTACTACCACTGTCTGCATGATGACTACATCTTTGTCACTTATCACTTGAGATGGTCGCTGATAGTTTGCTGATCTTTTTAGAGCATGTTTTAAAGATTAATAAACTTCTGATCAATAAAAATGTTACTGATTAGTAACTATGGTCCGCTCGGATTCTGAGTTAAACAGCAATGCGTCTTCATTCCACCCTGTTCTCCGCAATCCTTTTTGAGTCGCTCCACGATTGTCCATAAACTTTCATCTCCTCCTCACACGATCTCTTCCATGACATATTCGGATGCTCAACTTGTAGTTTCCCATTTGGGATCCACTTGAGGACTCAGTCTCCTTAGAGCATGTCCAGTCTGTCTCTATTTCCTTCGGTATATCTGTTGGGTGACAAGTTCTTGGCCAGTTCATGGTAGTAGGATAAAATCGATTAGATATGAAAGATAACTGCAGTAATTAATAGTTAATAGTTGTTGAATTTGTTAAAGGAATGGTGTGAGGTATGCTAAAATGAATTATTGAAAAAACAGTGGCTAGAAAGCATAAACTTGTAACTTGCAAGAAAAGAGAATGTATTCATAGGTGAAGAAAGCTTTGAAAGATAGTTTAGGTGACTCATAACTACTCTCTTAGGTTGAAGCATGATACAGAAACTTAAATAAAGCACCTCAATCATTTGCGAAATTCTAAAAATTTGTAAGTAACACTGAAAGAGAGATAATAGCAGGTTGTGATAGAACTAGCTCTATGAGTAATTTAAGGTTGTGATACAAGATAATCAGATAGTTTAACTAAAGTTTTTGCTGAAGTTTGGTACTCGGCGGTTATTCGTTCACAGTCTTATTAAATCATGAACTGCTTCAGCCTTTGGAAAAAGATGAAAGTCGTTTTGTGGTAATTATGGAGTAATGAAATTGGTCGACACAGTTTTAAAGGTTCATTTGATGGGATATTTAGAGCTCAAAAGAAACAGGTTCACCAAAAGAATAACAGTCTTCAGACTCATATGTAGATTAGTATTTAATTGGTGGATGGTGACTAGCAGTGGAATCCAGGATGCGCATTTCGTCCTACTTGGGACTCGTCAGCTAGATGTACCTTCATTTCTCAGTGAGGTGATGTCCCCTAATCAAATGTAGATTCATTGATAAATTCCTTATTTTCTAAGAATTCGTTGGACTCGCGCGTACTTATTAACTTCTGGCATATGTATTTCTCGGGGTGAATGCGGTGTCAGACTCTTGATCGAAAAGTATTGTGGCATTCCGTTCGATATGAGAATATATCACCTTAATGAAGGTCTTATACTTGCACACCCATTGAACCCTTGGAGCCAACGATCAATTATAACTTTAACTGCTTATGCTGAAAGATCTCTAACGAGAATTTTGACTCTGTTGTTTTAGTTTGACTTCAGTATGAATGAAGACCTCCATATTATCATCTCGTTCCACTAGAATTAATCATTTCTGAGAAAATTCTATAGTTGACTTTAATTATTTGGATGGTAGTTCTATCAAGTGAAGTTTTTGATAAGACTCTGAATTACAATAGGAGAATTCTGGCAATGTGTTTCTTCATATCTTAAAACGAATCCTTTGCTCCATAACCAGCTTCCACTGGTACTATCTGGTAGTAGGTGAAAAGGTGTTAACTACTTTCACCAACCTGCGAGGTCTCGACAGTTTTGAAGTAGTGTGTAATTTCCCACTAAGGTTTAAATGTACTGAGGCATTGTGTCCTGTAATACTATATGGCTGATGGTTAACAAGAAATCCATAGATCTTGACGAATATTGCTTTTGTAGCATAGTTTGATGGTGAGTGATTTGGAAGTTAGGTTATGGAGTCTTAGCTAAGCGAAGTAAATTACTTTGTAAGTTTGTCAACCTCCCTTTAAATGAGATGGCTTTGATACACTATCTTTGTTGTACCATTGATCTATGAGGTTGGTTGAAGTAGGTCTAGATTAGAGAAAAGTATAACAACGTAAACGGTTAGGATGTAGTGGCTAGTCTTATGATAGTTTTGTCTGAATCTGAAACTTTTTGCTATTTATAGGTTATTGGATTAGTACGGATGAACGCTCACAAAGCACGAGTCTTTACTATCGGTCTCGGAGAAGGTGCAAGTACTGGGCTAGTGAAAGGTGTTGCTCGCGCCGGTAATGGAACAGCAGCATTTGTTCGTGACAAGTATGTACTCTATCTCTTTGTTTTTTTTGTTGTCAATTACTCTGCTTTCAAAACTTTAATTATCCATCATTGGGCGACCCTCTGTTGATTACCCTTAAGTAATATTATGTTTAGGTTATTTTCCTAACTAAATACACATTTATTCACAATCCTTAACTGAGATTTTCACAAGTAACACCGACTTATTCAACATCTTTATTCGCAGAATCTTTAAATCTATCAGATTTTGAAATCAATAGAAGAGCAAAATCTAGGGGGATGAAATAGTAGCTGTAGGCATACTGAAATTCATTAAAGACCATTTGTCAGACTGATTAGCCTTCAAATAAATAAGCTCAATTACCTCATTTATCATGCATTTTGTTTGTTGTATAAACTGATACTGAAATGGCGAAGCTTGATTTTAGTTCTTTTCAGGAAATTTTTAGGAATAAATGTGAAAGTGATGAAATTGAATAGGATAGGATATGTTACGGAACAACCACTTGCAAATCCATGCAATTAGCAATAAGCCACACCTATTGTATGAGGGCTGGTTATTCTACCTAGCTGCACAAGCGTCGGTAAGTGGGGATGTCACGGGAGAAGACAGGAGGCTTGGTGACGGAATTTCCATTTGTAATGTGCAAATTATGTACACCTTATATTAGAATGGAGATGGGTTGGCCAAAGTCTGAGGAAACCATCAAGTGACATCACTAGACAAGCCATTGCTCGAGTGGAACCCGAAAGGGAAGCGGCGAGTTGGTCATCAGCGTGAGGGTGCCTTGGAGGAGGTCATGTGAAGAGGAGATGAAAACGTGTGGGCAGACATGGAGTGAGGTGAAGACTCTAGCAAAGAACCGAACTCAATGGAGACGCACGGTTGAAGCCCTATGTTCCTCTAGGAATTAAAGGAAATAATAATATATTAGAATCGTTGTTTGCAGAGATTTTCCGTGTTGGGCTACTTCTGCCCTTCGTATTGTGTTTCTTTGTCTTGTTTTCATGTCTCCCTTGATACGTTGCACTATTGGTTCATTCGCTCTCATTGACGTCAGATTTATCTCTCCGCTATTTAGTATTTTTGTGCCGATGAATGTCTCTATGCATACTACTGATAAATGTTGTCAGTAGCACATGCCACGGAGTGAAACCGTGACTAACTGGTTGGAAGTCGACCGGCTACTCCAATGAGCCACAGCTCCATATGAAGCCGAATAATTTTTATTAATAGATTATATTTCGTGTGACTAAAATGATTGATAGAAAAAGTTGTTGCTATTGTTCATGAACTTTATTATTATGATTATTATTATTATTTAACTGTTGTGTTCGACCTTGTCGTTTAAAGGTTATGGTCGTATAGCTGTTAAATAATGTCATGCATTTAAAAAATCTAAACTTGTTGGGTACTTATTCATGTAATATTATTCATACATACATATAAATATGGGCTTGAATTACCGATTAGAGTACTAAGTTCACGAAGGGTTTGTTCAATCGAATTCATCAGTGTAGGAGGTGAAGTTAAACAAGTACGATATTTAGTAGTAGGGTGTATCAGAAGTCATTTGAATATGAGCGATGAAAAGTTCTTTTGAATGCTGTTTGTTTGAGTGTGAACCTTACGTCACCGTTACCTAATGGACACCAAACGAGTTTCAGTGTATTCATGACGATAATCGGTTGTAATAGACACTACTATTGAAGCCATTACAGTGAGTGAGATATTAACATCAGATATAGTTTGTTACGTAAGGTAGGTAAATTATTCAATGGAGCAGTAAACTGTTTATTGAATAATGAATGTATGCATAAAATAAAATAAAAATAAAACAAATAATAAACTAAATCACATGACAAGAAAGTTCAAATTCCAAGTCAATAAAAATATGATCAATAAAGATGCATATTAACAACCACTCACAACACAATGGCTGTCAAGTGATACAGTTTATATCATTCATAGAAAATTCAAACAAGTTCACTTCATAATAAAGTTTCTCTGAAGATGTTGTCTAGATGGACAATGAAAGCTCTGTGATCAAATCAACCAGCTGAGAAAACACAACCAAACCAAAATCACCCACTTGAGCAACAAATAATGAATATTACAAGATTTTCATCATGAGCTGACATTAGTTAGAGAACCATTGGAAAACCTGGGAGTACTGGACAGCTGTTTTGTCCTAGTTTGGGACTTTTCAGCAGTACGCATCCACCACAGGGGTTCGAACCCAGGACCTTCTGGTTACAAGGTGAGCTCGTATACCATTAAGCCACTGGGACCCGATCCAATGGCCCATGAATTCTAACTTCTGCCAATTCACGACATAGCACATAAGCTACTGTTTTCTTGACGATCAGTATTGTTATTTGAAAAAGCATTGGAGTCAAAATTTATGAATTCTATGACTTTTCGTGTGAGTCACATAGGTAGGTGGTTGTAGACGTGCTTCCTATGTACTGATACACTTTTATTAGGAGTTTTTCATTTATTTGCCAGTCAGTTGTCTAAACCCACTTGATGAATACAACGTTGTTTTTTTTTCATTTCCTGTTGTTGTTTTTTTTCGCTTAATTTTTCATCACATATTCTTTGATAAACAAACTTTATACATGTCTACTGTTCAACTATCTTTTCTTTAGTTCTCAACTACATTCAACAGTTATGCGAATTCTTACAGATGCCCTACAACCAGAAGCTGATAATGTTAGCATCGATTGGAAGTTAACTGAGAAATTACCTGATGGCAAAGAGACACCAATTGAAATAGTTTCTGTTCCCAAACAAATTGCTCCGTTGTTTTCGGGTCATTTTGTCACATACTTTGGTCTCTTTAAATCTGGTTAGTGTTATTACTATCAAATTAATCCTATTGAATTTGTGTTTTTGGTTAATTATTTTATCGTATTCTAAAATTTACCAATCATGTTTGCATGATTTGGTAGATAGAGCGAACTCATTGATATTGATTTGTTATTAGTGAATATTGGCATAAATTTGTTAGTTTCCACAAAAAATCTGGGCAAAGTTAAATTCTAAGCTCCACTAACTACCAATCAGTGAATAACCTTGAATGCACTCATCACGTGAAGGAGGCATATTTTTTATGGAATACATATATTTATGAAAAAAAATGCATAAAAACTAGAAAAGCGTTGCGGAGGATAACTTCCTCTCACATGTGATAAAAATAGCTCTCAGTTTTAGGTTGGAGTGTCAATAGAGTGTAATTCCATTGTGGGTAAAATTTATTTTGTTAAAATCTCATAGTGTTATACAGTAATATTTACTGAGTAATAAATTGTGCTCGAAACGTGGTCATCAGTAAATATTGCTGTATAACACTGCGTAACACAGTCGGTGTAACTTCACAACCGCTTCGACTGATTTTTCTTCCTTATCCAACACTCGGCCGATGCCTAACCTCAATATTACTCACCTTATTATGCCACTTCACACGGGACACAGAACGCAGGCAACAATGACCAAAGATAGCCGGCGTCTCCACTTTCAGTGGCCATATATCAGCCATAAAGGAGGACGGAGCGAACTATTGAGCAGTATACACGTCCCCTGGTCGATAGTCGGATATCATATCTACGCCAGTTACTGGACGTCGGGTACTTGCTGGTCAGTGACATCGCCTACTAGTTCGTGGAAGTGAATTCTAGTCTTCTGGATTTATATTTGAGACTTCAACTTATTTACATTGTTTAATGATCACTAAGCGTCACAGTTAGACACACAAAAGTATATAATTTATAACCAGTGCACGAAAATGGAAGTTAGCCTTAGATTAGTCCTTTTTTTGGAATTGGATTTCATTTTTATATATATTCTTCATATATTTATTTTTTTATTTCCAATACGCCTTTATTTTGTTTTGGTGTTAGATAAACTTTCAACCGTTGGAGGACAAGTTAATTTAAACTATAGTCTGTTAGGTGAAAAGAAGACATTAACTCTGGATGTTTCGAATGCAGTGGTGCGCAGAAACAACTCAGATTCATCTCACAACTTACCTATTCATCGTTTAGCAGGAAATGTACAAATTAATGAACTTGTGGATGAATACCATAGTATTCAATTGGCTGAAAAGGATGAAACACACAAGAAAGCTCTGGAACCAATACGTCAACAAGTTGAGGATTTATCATGTCGACTTAATATATTGACGAAGTTCACTGCAATGGTAGCTGTAGATCCCGAGAAGTTAGGTAGGTGAAATTTATTTAATTATTTTTGGTGTTTTGATTGTACATTCGTTAGTTTTTATCGTGAATTGGTAAGATAAATGCATACCACCATGAGTATTGTTCTTAAGTTTGTTGGGTTCGAACCCTGCCTAACGTCACTCATATTTGGCAAAAGCTTAGATGTATTTGTTTCTTCAGCAGCTATAGGATGAATACATGGGCCATCTATATTTACTACATATACAACTTAGACCCTCAGAAAACAAGTAAGACAATCTTATATATTCCTGATTCTTATGATATTTCCGACTGTGACAGAGCGATCTACTCACTGACATTGATACACTATATACTGGTAGCAATCATTATTGTTTTATCCAATCCTTGGTTTTAACTCACTTCCCCTAGTCATGTTTGTAATTTGATCACGAAGCCAGAAAACTCGCCATCAATGTTATGTGGTTGAAGGCAGTCAAGTAAAAGTTCTGAACTTACGTTCTAGCCTAATTGACACTCATCAACAAGGCTTAAATTCGAATTTCAGCAGGGTCATCAATTCCCTCAAGGTCGCTGATGTATCTTGCTGACAAAACCTCGGCATAGAGCTTCCTGCTGATTCCATTAATCAGTCTATTATCGATACACTGTGAACGGTCTTTTTCATAGTAGAATCGATTTGTTCAGATTTTTCTATGTTGTCTGATGACACTTGAATATCAATGAGATGCTCACTAGCGACTGGCCCTATTCAGGTAGGTAGTTACCTGGGGTTCTAGTGAGAAATCGTGACCAGTAGGGTGCAGCAGGTCGGGTGTGAGGAAAAATACTCACCGAAGACATTGGCTAGGGGTCGCGCTATGTCGTGAATTGGCAGAAGTTAGAATTCATGGGCTATTGGATCGGGTCCCAGTGGCTTAATGGTCTACGAGCTCGCCTTGTAACTAGAAGGCCCTGGGTTCGAATCCCGGTGGGTGCGTACTGATGAAGAGTCCCAAACTAGGACAAAACAGCTGTCCAGTACTCCCAGGTTTTCCAATGGTTCTCTAACTGATGTCAGCTCATGATGAAAATCCTGTAACCAATCAAATCCCTACAAACCAACACTTGAACACAAGAGTACTGATTCACGCTGTAACCTCGATTTCAAAATGCCTTTTCATTAAATTCTGGGTAAACTGACTAAAGATGCCAGTTAAATTTTTCAAAAGACTAATCAGTGAACAAACGATATTCTTTTCGATAACTCCTTCATCAAGTTCTACAGTTATATGTCCATAGAAATTAAAGAATTATTGCTGCTACCAGCATTAATGTTTTAAACAACATTGGATTGATTCTGTAGATAGATTAGTGAATATACAGATTCCGTAACAGGCCAGGGTGGCAGTAGTGGCTGAACCTGTTTTTTTTCGTACAAAGAGATCCGGTAAATTATAAGCGAATTGCAATTGTTTCTGCTTTCTGGAGTTTTTGGTGCCTAGAGGTCTTTGGTAATTTATTGAATACCCGATGGATAATAGAGAAAGACTCTTCAGTACTATCTTTGTGGCCTATTTGGATGAGGTGATCTAATATAGATTCGTTGATGGTTTTAGCAACACCTTTATTTGGCCACACTAGTAGATGTTACCGAGCACGAGAAATTGGCTCCCTAGAGCAATGCCACATATGTCTGACTCTACAGAAGCGGTTGAATTGGTAGATGCTATAAGAAATGGCTAGTCTAGGTAATTTGTCTTTTCGTTTCAGAATCACAACCGCTAGTGTGGAAAATATGAGTTGTAGCTGATAGCCGTCAAAAGTTCGACTGTGTAGCCTGAATGTCGTATTGCAACGAATTACTGAAGAAAATCTTCATCATGCTGCTAAGAAAGTCCCTTTAAATGTCAGAGTGAAATGTTTTTGTGTTTGTGTCCATTAACTGTAAGGTGTAAGCTGCCGCAGACTACGCTAACCGTTAAACTTTAGATTTTGATGATTCTTTGTGTGATGTAGATGGTCCTCACTTGGTTTCGGTAAACAATATGCAGACTATTGTCTTCAAGACAAATTGTCAAATATGATGTTTACATTTGTGTTAATTAATAAATTCCATGGAATATTAGCTGAATCACCGATTGGTCTTCCTTATTTAAACAATTTTCTTTTCTTTTCAGATACCGATGTAAATACCAAAAGAGTCAAGGTGTCTGTACCTCTAATGAGACGTTCTTGTGGGGGTTAGTTTAATATTTCTTTGCATACTTAATTATTATAATATTGACCATTATTGTTGTTGCTATTATTATCTTGTTGGCAAGCTTCTGTATCTCCTTTACGTGTATTCTATACTAACTCATTCAAGAAGTTTTCTTGTTTCGAATAACTTCGAAATATTACAGAACCTGCATAACTGGTCTCGATGAAAAAGGATCATGGTACTGGACACTTTTCACTATTAGGACAATTTATTTTTTGTTTGCTAGTTATTAGTTGAGATTATCACTTCCATCTAAAAGTCAATTCACATGAGATTATATAAAGCTCATTATCTACGTTTGTCAGTGTCCAGGTCTAACTACACTGGAATTAACGCTGTCCTTAGAAGACCTTCAGCAACAGTGTGCAATAACCAACGCGAAAAAAAAACAGAACACAGATTGGTGACTCGAAAGTCCTTTATTCTTGCACCAATATGGAACCAACCATTAGGTTATTTTACACAAAGTCTAAGAATAAATGTCATCACAACTAATCACAATAATACTTCTGATAGTATTTCTCCGTCTTCTAATGAACGGCGCAGGATGGAACGATGACTGCAGTATCGGTGACTCCGACCAACCATGAATCGATCGTTCATTCTTCAGCCAAATTGTCACTCCTCTGCAAAAAAAGGAACCATTCCTTTTTTCCACCACGACCGGTAAATATTGACGTGGATGTCAGTGCGAGAACCTGGGCCATAAGGACAAAGCTGAAATGGAAAACAAACAACAAAGCTAACAGACCACAGGCATACCCACAGCACAATCTCACTCGTTGACGACGACCTACGCCTTCCAGTTAAAGGCATCCTCTTGACATCTTGCGACACAATCGCCACTTGCTAGAAGGACTCTTGCAGAAAGCAACATGACCACAGCAGCACCTCTTGATACTCTTCGCACACCCTCTTATCTATTCAGTACCAATTACCACTGCTATCACTTGTCACTCATTCTGCCTCAGTACTAGTAACGGTGACGTATGCAAGCCTCAGTCGTCTACACTCTCGCTCCCCGGTGTGTGGGACTGCAGCCTAAATCGAAACATTCATTCTCAATCAATGATTCCACAGCTAATCCTTGTCTATATGTCCATGTCATTCTCAGCACTAGCCTCCCAGGCGTGTTCGAACCATCTGCTGCCTTTAACATCAATCAATTCATTCACATATGTAGAGGACTCGAAACAACTTCAGAAGTAGGCACGACGAAAATTTTAACAAAATTATACAATACAACAAAATACGAAAACAACAAGTAAACACAGCGAATCCAAAAACACCAATTGATACGACACGCTATGCACATATACAGACAGTACGCATAACCTCGCAGACCATGTCTTGATGTAATTCCTTTGAAGAATCGCAGGATTTACACCAGTACGCCTGCAACTCCTCTCAGGTTAACGATTCTAAGTTGCGAAATCGTCAAGTGGTCCATCCTCTGACTCTCGACTCTCAGCACCTTCCAGCAGACACAGTTTCCTAATATATTGCTCCGACATGCCACAACTTGCTCTCATCTCGACTGTCCCCACCAACCCATCACCACTACAGATTACCCTTTCTACCACTCCCAAAGGCTACCTACCTGTGGCACATTTATCTGCTACTAAGACTATATCACCGACCTTTAAGTTTCTGCACAACTTTTTCCACTTGTCTCTTGTTTGCAGTGTTAGAACATACTCTTTTAACCATCTTTTCCAAAATATATCTTTCATGTACCTGGCTTGTTTCCATCTTTTAATCGTAGGTATTCGTTCCGCACTCAAGTCCCCTATGTCAGGGTCACCTCGCAGTAACAATAATTTATTTGGAGTCAACAATTCAAAATCCTTGACGTCTTCCCTCAAAGGTAATAGCGGCCGGTCATTTAGTATTCGTTCAGCTTCACATAAAAATGTCTCCAACGTTTCGTCATTCAAACTCTGGTTTTTAATTATGGAGCTTGAAATACGCTTAATAATTCCTATAAGTCTTTCCCATAGCCCACCTCTGTGGCTGGCATGTGCTGGGATGAAGTGCCACTCGGTGTTTCTTTTCAATAACTCTTCATGAACCCTCGTTTGAGGACCTTCGAAATGCTCTTTAAGCTCGGCGTAACAGCCAACAAAATTAGTCCCCCTGTCACTGAACATCATCTTCGGTGTACGTCGGCGATTTATAAATCTACGTAATGCTAGAACGAATGAATCAGTAGTTAACGTATGAACCATCTCAATATGGACAGCTCTCATTTTCAAACAGGTGAATAAACAGCCATATCTTTTGTATAGGGTTCTGCCTCTCTTCACTACAAAAGGTCCGAACAAATCCACTCCGACATTATTATTATTATTGCATCCTTTTATTCCTAGAGGAACATAGGGCTTCAGCCGTGCGTCTCCATTGAGTTCGGTTCTCTGCTAGAGTCTTCACCTCACTCCATGTCTGCCCACACGTTTTCATCTCCTCTTCACATGACCTCCTCCAAGTCACCCTTGCAATGACGACCAACTCACCGCTTCCCTTTCGGGTTCCACTCGAGCAATGGCTTGTCTAGTGATGTCACTTGATGGTTTGCTTCCTTAGAGTGTGGCCAATTCATCTCCATTTCTTCCTGCTTATTTGTTTCACAATCGGTTCCTGGTTGGTTTGCTCCCAGAGATCCCTATTGCTGATCTTTTCTGGCCGGCCATCTGATCTTGAGTATTGAGCGAAGACAACTGTTAATGAAGGTCTGTAGTTTGTTTTAGATGCTTTTTATGACGCGCCAAGTCTTTGATCTGTATAGTAAATGGCACTGACTTCACATTGGAGTTAAAAATCTGGATGTTATTTTTGATGCTGAGAGTTGTTGACCTCCACACAGACATACTCGGATGGATAATTCCCTTCAGAAACTTGCCACGCTGGGAGTGGTGCCATCATCTGCTGTGCTGAGCGAGCATTCCTCAGTTTACATTCCATGCACTTATCAATTATTTTACGGACAGCAGTACCTCCTTTCACTATCCAAAGCTTGCATCGAATACTTGATAGTACTTGTGAAGAACCTAAATGACCTTCAAGAACATGGTGATGTCTTATAATTAGATTAGTCACTGGATGGTAGCAAGGTAATAAGGCCGTATGACTGGTCTCATATGACGATTCTAACATTTGCAGACGTCCACCAACTCTAGCATTCCCTTCGGGAACTATCGGAAATAATCTATCTAACCGCACCTTGAAATCTGCGAAATCGGGACTATCCTCCTTGGGTATGTCACCCCACTCTTCTCACTGAGCAGCCCTCAAAATCACTAACTCTGTATTTCTAATATCTTCGACTCTCAAAGGTCCTACATTCATATTATCGTATCCTGCAAAATGTATGACCTTTAAATACGTAATATATCGTGTCAACCACGCAACAGCCTTCAGTAATTTGTACCAAGAAGGATAATATTTAAAAAGTGGACGTGAACCCGAATGTTTTTCTTGAGTAGATGTTAAACTGACATTTGTCTTAAACTCCAAGACACACTCACTTATCGGTGGTTCATCTTCTCTACTAGGCCACATACCATCAGCTCGTAGCGAGAACTCCGAACCCTTCCACCACTTATTTTTAACCACATTCATATCAAGAACTCCTCGCGATGCTAGATCAGCTGGGTTTTTTCCAGACGGTACGTACCTCCACTGCTCAACGGCTGTTAATTCACAAATTTGAGATACTCTGTTAGCTACAAAACATGCATATCTTGCTGACTCGTTGCATATATAATATATCACATGCATCGAATCAATCCAAAACGTTACAGGATACATGGGATAATCTAATTCCTTACACACCGTTGTGAATAACTACGCAGCTAGCAAGGCTGTAGTAAGTTCTTATCTCGGAATCGAAACCGTCTTTAGAGGTGCAACTCTAGATTTACCCATCACGAGGTGAACATCTATATCATCCCTTAAGGTAGTTCTGATTTAGACGGCTGCTCCAAATCCAACCTTAGAGGCATCAGAAAAAACACGGAAGTCAATTATATCATGATTTCTCGATGGTTTAAGTGGACGTGAGACGGAAGGTAGATCCAGTGTTCTTAAATTGTTAACCCACCTTTTCCACTCTTCACTGTGCCTCTCACTTAAAGGGTCATCCCATTGTAACCCTTTCCTGCATGTCTCGTGGGTCAAACACGGACGACAACACAGAGAGCACACCTCTCCGAGTGACTGGCTTATCAATGTCACCAATACTAGATCCAAAGGTATCAGAGTTTACATCCCATCGCATACCTAATGTGCGTTCAACTGGTAAAGTGTCAACAGGTAAATCTCGTACAGTAGGTGCTCTGTCTTCTGAAACTATATGCTTCAAATCGTCTAGGCTGTTCGAGACCCACTTAGTTAAACCAGCCTTAGCCAACACCTCGGTAATACTTGTTACGAATTTAATTGCAGACTCATCATCATCGAATGAGGCTAAACAATCATCCGCATAGAAGCAACAATCGATGACGTCCAGCTGATCATCAGACAGTTAAACTGAGTCAGGTAGGGAGGTGCAGACTTCCGGGTTGGGGCCCGCCCTCGGGACTCTAAGAATCAATGGCTGGAAACAATAGGTGACATGGCTCAAAATCGTTGTCAATGGCTTATGCAGATGTATTCAGTCTCTGTAATCTTTCATATCCCTTTCTACCATTACTCATTCTGTTTCACTCTTATACTTGTCAAAACTCTATTGATTCTCTTCACTCATTTTCCTGTCTACCTTTGTGTGTCATTTGGAACGTGGCAACTCGAACTGCTGTACTTTGGTGCCGAGTTCTATGTTGAATCCAGCCAGCCAGATCATCAGAAACAAACGTAAACACAGCCTTGCGTAGAGCAAAGTTAGCGAAAAACGGGGAGAGCGTGGCACCAAATGGATGGACTGTCATCCTATATTCTGACATTTTACCACATGAACCTTGTTCTCTGCCACCTTCACTTATAGTTCTATGTTGAATCCAGCAGCAGCAGCAGCATAGGAACATTCCCTCTATATCCGCAGCAACAGCAACTGCAAACCTTCTGAATCTTAACAGCAGTCCAACTAATGAGCTCACGCAATCTGGACCACTATATAGATTATCATTCAAAGAAACTCCTTCGTGTTTCGCAGAACAGTCGAACACCACACGGAGTTTACCTGGCTTCCTCGGAGTAAAGACGGGATGATGGGACAAATACAACTTTTCTGGCTCGCTCTGATCGGCTAGTCTTTCAACGTCACCCTTCATTACATGTTTGTCGACGACATCCTTATATTTGGTCCAGAGACCTGCATCCGTTACAAACTTCTTCTTTAAACCCATTAGTCTCTTAAGTGCAGCTTCTCTGTTACAAACCAACTGTCTATCTCTAAATCTCCATGGTAGGTCAACGCTGAACTGCCTATTTTCGTACTTACAAGACTCCTCAACCATTTTAACTACCTTTAAGTCTTCCACAGAACGACACTTGTCTGGGACACTGCTGTCACAAAACTCCTTGTCATACATATTTCTAATCATAGTCTCCAGTTTGTCCCCATTATTTGTAACCAATGATGATATGTGGACCATGGGTGTAGGTCCTCTCACTTTCCATCCCAGTGGTCTTTTCGTCGCAAACAGATCATCTCTACCTCCGTATCTCTCTTCTAATACCTAGTGAGCTTCTGATATACTACATCCAATGAGTATTTCCACTTTACCATCTTGCAGTGTTGAAAACGGTATGTCACACAGGTGTGGCTTACTGACAACTGTTTCACGACTAGGTACTATAGCTTCGCTAAGTTGCATACTGGAAGTAGTGTAAGCAGTACCTAATCCAACGGTTTCTCCAGTATTCAAGGATTCTAATTGAAATGACACTCGTTCGCATATTAACGTTTTCGAAGAATTGAAAGCATTTAGGACCAAGGATTGTTTTGGGCCCTTAACACCCAAGCAGCCAGCCAGCCAGCTTAGCATCTATCAATGTAATGTCAGAACCATTATCTAGCAACACATATGTATCGACACATGACCTTGGTCCTTTTACTCTTACTGGCACAACACCTAAATAGACCTTCTGGAATTTGTGCGGTGCAAAACTGCTATTACAATTAATAGAACTCCCCTGATTCTTCGATGATGTCAACAGCGGATGTAATCCCAATGAACTACTACCACCATTCTCAGATGTCTCACAGTTAAGCCTTGTGTCCCCGTCCTTTAAACAGCAAAAGCATAATTGTTTCCTTTTTACAATTTGTAACCTTTCTGTCGGAGACATTTGAAGGAAACGAGCACACTCATTAAGTATGTGTACGTCGCCACAGATAACACACTTTCCTGAACGTCCAATGCTTTGAGAACCTCTCGTTACAAATGACTTTGTCCTACTGGCTGACCTCTCAGTTTCAGAAGCCGGATGCAATATACTGGTGAATTTACTCATAGTCTGATTAACATTATCGGTCACTAATCTTAGTATATCGTCGAACCCTGGATCTACACCTTCCTCTTCTGAGTGGAAGCTGATTTTTATGAACTTTCTTTGTAAGCGAACGAATAATCTTTTAGCGATTGCCTCAAGCACAGAACTCGAGCTCAATTCATCCACACAATGAAGAGAAACGAGAGTATTTCTAAACACCATTAAATTATCGAAAAACTCTGCGAGTTCCTCGGAGCTATCGTTTAACTGCGCACCATTACCCTTAACTGTCTCTAAAACACTCCTGGATATCATAAATGGCCTACCAAACCTTTGACGCAATATTCTCATGGCCTCAGTGTATCCTTTGTCTGGGGGCATAAACTTACAGCACTATATAGCTCTTGCAGCAACACCAGTGCAATACCTCAATAAATACATCAACTTCAATACGTCATTTATTACAAAACCACTCAACATGACTTCAAACTCCTTGAGAAACTGTGGATAGTCAGCTGGGTTTCCGTCAAAATACCGAGGCTCAAATTTTGGAAGTTTAAAACCCCTACTATCACTAGACGGCGAAACATGAACATCAATCTTATCATGCTGAGCATCATACACGTCATTACAAATAATAAGCAACTCATTAATACTTACTTTCCTGTCTGCTTCCAAAACACTTCGTCCTTTCTTTGGCCCAGGCTTTACTGAACGTTACCAAACGATCCAGAAAAGTTCCAAATAAAACTCGTCCAAAGAAAACTTGCAGACACGAGGAAAGGTGATTTGCAAACAAATACGGCAAATAATTCCAAGAGATATCAGAAACTGTCAATGTCCAGGTCTAACTACACTGAACTTAACTTTTAGGGACTCAACAACCAGTCACATCAGACTTTGCGTGGGCGGATATGATTCGCAGATATATGGTCTGACCTTCAAAGAAACGGCCACAAGGAGATGACAGAATAACCTTCAGCAGGAAAACAATCAATCAGAAGAGGTTACGTCTCTGCTAACAATAACGAATAATAATGTACGTAAAAATCTATAAATATCTGTTGATTTTCTCAATAAACGATCTATTGCCTGACTCCTGTCTTCTGTCGTTACAGTAGTGTGTAAAATATGAGTACCAACTGTTTATTGAAGTATCAATTGCTTACCTTTTTGATTTCTTTTAGGTGCTCCTTATGCGGCAATGGGAATGGGGATGCCTATGGCGAATTGTGGAATTGACATGATAGATTTCGGTAAGAATTTTTAATTGGTTTTCCGTTAGTGTATTCTGTGATCGGTTATGTTAGACTCTTTGTTTTAGGGCAACTCGTCAAATGAACTTGAATCTTCAAATATTGGTTTGCAGGGTTTTGATTGATTTCAAGTTGTGTTTTTTTTAACGAAACGACTTCATTGAGAGAACTATTGAAAACCAGCCAACCAATGTCATCCACAAGTATTTTTTCTTCATACCCAACTTGGTCGTGACCAGAAGGGTTGCATTAAATGTATATCGAGAATCGACAGGAAGTTAGAACTGATGTTCCATTGGATTCTGTCTCAGTGACTTAATGGTCAGTTAGCTTGCCTTGTAACTTAAAGGTTCTGGGTTCGATCCTCGATAGGGTCGTGGATGCGTACGGATGAAGAGTCCCAAATTGGGACTAAACAGCTGCCCAGTACTCCCTCATTTTCAATAGTTCTCTAACTGAAGTCACTTCGTGAACAAACTTGAAATTTACTGGCTTATATGCTAAGCAATGCTATTAATAATAGCTGTGAGTATTATTCAGAGTTGCTTTCACAATATCATGATTATATTTTTCACTTCTGCTTTGATACGATATTGGTTGAGAGAGAAAGAAAGACCAGATTTGCAGTATAAAATGATATCATTCTATTTCACGGGTTCTCATCAGCTAACTGCAAACTACGTGAAATTACAGTGGTTATAAATAATAACATTTCATACTTCAATGTTTGAAAGGTAATAAAGAAAACATTATAAGATGAAAGCATCCGGAATACCAGTATTACAATTTTTAGTTTAAGTTACCATCAATTTTTTATACTATCAAACTATGAAAAAAAGGTTAGGTGAGAGAAGACAGAAAACAGAAAAATCTCATAAACAGTGTTAGCTTGTACGTCAAAATGGCTACTCAAGAAGGTTGAAGTTCATCAAGGTGTCTGGTAATTGCACTTTGTAATTATCTGCTTCCTTTTAAGAATAAGTTTCTTGGAATATACTGTGAAAACCGGATAGAAGCTGATCTTTCTGTCTTTCCAATGTACTTACTGCCGCAGGTGCACGTAAATTTTTTGTAAATGCAGTTGGAGGTAACATCGGCAGGGTACTTATCCAGTTTCGACTGTCTTATATAGCATGTAGTGCTGTTTAGTGTCACCAGCTTGCCTGAAGGGAAGCATCTCTATATTGCTCCTTTCATCCTCTTGTCAATCTCTTGTGATACTTCTTCTCCTTTGTATGGGAGACAAATGAACACTTTCTTCTTTTCAACTGTTAGATACTTCACTTTTTCATCTTTTTCTTTGCTGTACTTTGGGGAAATACGTCCCTGTAATGGTGATATGACATCATTATAATGAATCAGCAGACAGTCATGGATTCGGTTGTGTTGTTCTTGTTAAAAATAAGTCTCTTCCAGAAGTTAGCTTATGTTTCTCCTTCTTTCTGTAGAGACATATATTGCCAAGTCAAAGTTGTCCTTAACAATGGGTGTCTATTCATCGTCCACAACTAAGTTTTATAGTGATAGATACGAATAACAACCATGGAGATTCGAAATAGTCTATTGTCCATAACGCAACAGTTTCAACACTATGGTGACGTTGTTTCTTGAAATATACAGAGATTCACAGGTCTTCATGTTATGTCCATATTGAATGTAAGTATAGATGTAACTGTGTTAGTCAAACTGGAAGTATACAAAGGATAGAAAAACAAGTAAACTAAACATTATTTGCACTTGGGTCAAATGATATTACTCGAGAAGCTCTTTGGAATGAAAAGACGCCTTGTCGCGCTTATCTCAGTTATGCAGTGATTAGCACTTCTTTGAAACACACTTCATACAGACTGATGGATGGACTATGCTCAGTTGTTGTTCTTGGGTTGGATGTGTTTGTGATATAATGGAAGCGGTATCATTCAATAATTCATGAAAGGTCATTATTAAGAATAAATGATTGATAACTTCTTGTGATCCATATTCCTCAGCTTCCTTTAGTAGTGAAAAACACTTGCTATATTGAATTAGATGAAGTTTAGAAACAAAAGGTAAAAGTATCCATAGAAGCTATCAAATACATCAAACTAGGTCAGTGTTATAGGCCCTTAGACTCAAACATTTTTTGGTTCCGTGCTAATCTGATGACTAGTTACAATTAACACATAAAGGACTTTAGATGGTTGGAGGCAATCGGCAGGAAGCCCAGCCTTGGACCTAGGTTTCGTGCTAGTTGGCATTCACCAGTCAGCAAGGCGTATCTGCAACCTTGAAGGAATTCATGTCCCTTCTGAGATTCGAACCCGCGTCACCCAGTGCTGTAGTCAGAGATGTTACCACTGAGCTATTCGGGCTGGCTCGCGATTGACCTTCTGTAGGACTAGTGGGTTGTTTGCTTATTCAGTTAATCACATCCAATTTCATTGGTTCCATAGCTGCTATAAGATCGGAGACTTCCGGTATCGTTTGGAGATTCATATTAGAAGTAGCTATTATATGAACACACAGTTAAGTAATGCACAGTCAGCTTATTGCATATATGTGTGGATATATAGGTTTCCATCCTCCTTGTGAAGAAATTCTGAGACTTCTATAAGAAGAAATCATCTATTATTATTGTTTAATCTATTTCACTTCCTGTACTTTGTTGTATTCGCCTATAAAATTAATTTGACGGGTTAATTTCAGCCTTTCAGAATTTATATAATCTCATTAGCTAATGCATAATTGGTTATCTTTTGTCTGTTTGGCGGTTTCACTTCAGCCACCAGACATTCTTCGTGTCGTAAAATAATCTAGAAATTGTTGGTAAATCAAATAACCAATTTCCTTTGAGGAACAGGATGTATTGTCTGAATTGAAGAAACTGTATAGAAAGTATATTCCTGCTTATTAGCTGCAAGTATTGGGTTTAAGAGAAGGAGTTGCCAGAAATACGTCTTACGTAAAACTGATAACATTGTTGACAATTACTCAGTGTTTCGTTCTACTAGAAATTAATGCAGCCCTCTAGTGGAACCCGAATAAGAAACAACCAGTTGGGTGTCTGAGGGTGACATATGAGAGTTCGTGTGAGGAGGAGATGAGAGCTTATGGGAAATCGTGGGCTCAGCTTAAGATGACCTCAGAGAATGCGACAGAGTGGATATGTGTTATTGAAGGAATTGCTCATACAACGTACAGTTAGCTGTCTTTGTTGGGTCGCATGTTGCACCGCACCATGAAACATTCAAAGAAATTCGTTGGTTCACTTACTGAAACATACGAATCAGGTTAAAGTAGGAGAAACAATAAAGTGTCAGCACAGTTTTTGATGACATTTATGGTTAGTGTTTTCAACTGGTCACAATAGAGATGATTACACTAAGTATTTAAAGTGATTTACTCGATCATTGATTTGAGTGTATTTAAACAAAAGAAACCAAAACATTTTACATTTCAGAAAGATAAGCTGCATTACGCCTTTTCAGGATTTAATCGTCGTATGGGGAATTTCGATTAAAAGTTCCTGAAAAACTGGTGTAATAACAACCGACATTATTACGGTGGATCTCTTTTCTTATATTTACCACTTCTAAGAACATCCCATGACTATTTAACTGTAGCATCATGATATCTAGACAACTGTGCACTTTACCTCTAATTAGACGGTAGCTGACACAAAATCAACAATTGATGTTATAGTTGGACTGTAAGTATAGTTTGTGGACAATGACTTCGGCTAGCACCTTCATTAATCAGTAGGCAAGTGGTTAACTGGACAGCGGAGGTCATTATTTAGTTCATCCATGATATGGTTTGTTATTTTGTTTCTTTAACTGAGACTTGTGTGGTAGTGATTTTTATGCTTTTGAGATCTATCTTTGATATTCTATAGAGTGAGAATAATGTATTTATAGTGACTGTTATAACACATATTTTGCAGTAGACTGAATTTTTTTTATTAATTTTCTGACTTCTTTTGTCGCTGTCATATAGCTTCGCCTGCAAGTGCATGCTGTTTACGAACTGATGGAGGTAAGTTCTGTTTGTTATCTTGTAGCGAAGTGATCTAAAACACTTAACTGTCAACAGATTGTTGAATTACCATTTATTTATTGATCAATAATAAGTTGAATTGATTGTTTTTCATTCATCTTACCTGATGAAATAATGTTCGTCCATTGGCTAATATTTCCCAACATTGAAAAAGTGAGTAGCTGACTTTATTATCAGATGATATCGCCAGTCACCTCATTATCGCACTATGTATACATTGTGATTGCTAGATATTACATGTTAGATATACAGGATATCTCTGTAGGTGATAAGGTCACTTAGGGTTGCTCAAACCATGATTCCCTCAAGTCACCTAAGCTTTATACATTTTCATAACTGACTGATTTCGTAGGCGTTACTCCTTAGTGATCCACAATCATCCTGTTGTCTTCACCAATCAACACATCTGCTTTATCAGTATTATACTTGTATGACATAGAGTAGCTCTTTCATGTGTATTTATTAGCATGAAAATTGATCAATAACTGATGAAAAGTACAGGTAATCATGCTAGCCACTGTTCTGCTTCATTTAGTTTTTTTTTGGTGATGTCTTATAATGGTCTCTCTGTAAACTCACCCATGACTTCTATTTCCTTCAAGTAGCCAAGTTAGGTCGTTTTCTCGGCATTAGTTGAGAAGCGAAGCTGCTTAAATGACACCAATCCAACTGCTTCACTAAACCATTCAGCCGGTAATAGCGACAGGCGTTGTTTACATGGGATAAATAGCTCTGAGTACCGAAAAGTGTAGTTTACAAGATGTATCGTTCTTTAAAAAAATTTCTTTTATTCCTTTTAGGGTGTTTACTGCTGCTCTGTTATAACTGTACTTTGTTCCTAGTATATGAGAAAGAAGTGAAGTGTACGCAGATTTACTCATTCCGAAGGCTTCATCAGTCTTGATGATCTGGTTGCTGACTAAAACCCATTGTGTACGCAAAAGATTCCTTTAACATGGCCTCATCTCTGACTCAGGCATGATAACAGACTACCCATCAAAAGACATATTTACTGCTCAGCATATGTCTCTTTCATGCTTAAAGGCTGTGAGAAAGTTGTTGAAGGTGAAAGATCTGAAGCCTAGTTGATATCAATCTTCTTGCTATCGTTATCTGGGCTGAACCGGTCAGTATACCGTCTGATTGTACTTCAACACCACTGCTATTTCCGCTGCACTTACGCCTTATGACCAGTAGAAATTATTATCCCTTCGTAAGCGTTAGAGAGAGACAGACAGAGACCTATGGACCTACTTTTCATTATATTTGGCACTCCTAAGTGAAGCTCATCTGTAACCATGAGAAAATTTATGTTCCTCAATGAGTTTTGAATCTGGTTAACAGATTTTCATCAACACTTTATTCTACACAGGCATATATATAATATAATAGAGAAGATTTGCAGCTCAGGTGAATGATTTGCAATTAATAGTGTTCTCTGAGCTGGTTGGTTTGGTTGCGGAGCTTTCATCGTCCTTCTGGACAACATCTTCAGCGCAATATTTAGCATAAAGTGAAATGATTTCAATTTCTTCATGAGTGATGTAGTTGCGTCTCCCGTTAGCCATCTTTACATATGTATTGACCATTTTCTATTGACTTGGATTTTAAAATTTCTGGTCACCTGATTTACTTTTTATTAGTTGGTATATTTCGTCTATATTAACGTGTTTGTTAATTGCATTTTCGTTTGAGTAACAGGCTTTTAAGAATTCCCTGGCACATTCGGTGTTTCCTCTATTTAAAATTTCGACACTATCCCAATCAAACTGATGTCCATAATTGTTTATATGCATTGATACTAAAGAATATATATCGTGTCTTTTCACAGCTGATTTGTATTTCTGGATTCTAATTCGAAGGGGACGCCGACTTTGGCTGATATAATGCCTGTTACAGTTCATACAATTTATTTTGTAAATGGTATTAATTCTATCTCCTTTTGCTGTTGGATCTTTCGGTCTGCATAAAATCGAATTAAGCGATTTGACTGGCTTATGTGCTATATCTATATCAAACGGTTTTAGTATTCTAGCTGAAATTTAGAAAGACAAGTATATAGAAAATCAACGCACACAGATCAAATACTCAACTATACTAGCAATAATTCAATTACTCACAAACGAAACTGTGTGCAGACATTGTTTAAAAGAGTTCAAACACATTGTAGCACTACAGAGTTGAAAAGAATGGAAGAAAAGTACCTACAAACGGTCTTCAAAAAGAATGGGTATCCACAAAATTTCATCAAAAAGTTTTTAAAGGCGAATTAAAACACCAACAAGAAACCATCATCAAAGACCACAAGAAAATTCATCCTACCATACATGAAAAATATCTATGAAATAACAGCTAGAATACTGAAACCGTTTGATATAGATATAGCACACAAGCCAGAATAATCACTTCATTCGATATCCTGCAATTCAAAACATCAAACAGAAAAATAAGATGAAATAAATTGTATGAACTGCGATAAACATTACATCGGTTAAAGTGGGTGTCCCCTTCGTTACCCGATCGAAGAACACAAATTAACTGTAAAAAGACATCATATATATATATATTCTTTCATATCAATGCATGTAGATAATTATAGACACTAATTTGATTGGGATAATGTTGAAATTTAAAATAGAGAAAACACCGAAAATACCAGGGAATTCTTAGAAGCCTGGTACTGAATTGAATTAGCAATTGGCAAGAGCTACCTAGAATGGTGGCCACATTGCAAAACCTGACTGATAGAATTCAGTCTGCTTCAAAGAAAGCACTAGACACGTCACACTAGTTACTAGTGTCCAATACATTAGTATAGATCAAATTTATCAGCTGATAAAAAGTAAATCATCACATGACAAGAAAGTTCGAATATCTAAGTCAATAAAAATATGATCAATATAGATGTGAATTAACAACAACCAGTCACGACAGTAGTTGCCAAGACATACAATTATATCATTCATAGGAAGTTAAATAAGTTTATTTCGTACTAAAACCTTCTCTGAAGATGTTGACTAGAGGGTGGATGACGAAAGCTTCACAATTGAATCAACCAGTTCAGAGAACACAACTAATTCAACGTTGTTTATCATTATTCAGTTTATAATGAGTTAAACGGTATCATTTATTGCTTTGATTTAATTGTTTTAGCTCAACCAGAGTGTTATACCGGTTCATTGGGCTTTGAAATGGACGAATGTGATTCAGGTATGTTGTTATTCAGTAACATTTTAAAAGAATAATTATACGCTATTTTTAAATTGAATTTCAAATTGTGAAAAATACCTATCAGGATGTTAGAGAGAAAAGAATAAGGAACTCATCCTCAAATGCTGTGTAATCGCATTTTTATACATAAGTTCACATAGTTACAACTATTATTTAGTTCAACATAATAACAAAGAAAGGTAATGATATTCAAGTATTGGTTTTTGTAGGGATTTGTTTTGATTGATTGGAGGATTTCATCATGAGCTAATATCGGTTAGAGAACCAATGGAAAACCTGAAGGGAGTACTGGCAGCTGTTTCTTTTGTCCTAGTTTGGAATGCTCACTAGCGACTGGCCCTATTCAGACGGTTAACCTGGGGTTCTAGTGGGAAGCCGTGACCAGTAGGGTGCAGCAGGTTGAAGGTAAGGTGGTAACTCATCGAAGAAAAAGACATTGAGAAGTGATCGCGCTATATCATGTGAATTAGCAGAAGTTAGAATTCATGGGCTGGCCATTGGATCGGGTCCCAGTGGTTTCATGGTCTACGAACTCACCTTGTAACGAGAAAATCCTAGATTCGAACCCCTGTAGGTGTGTGCTGCTCAAGAGTCCCAAACTAGGACGAACGAAACAGCTGCGCAGTACTTCCTGCAGGTTTTCCAATGGTTGTCTAACTGATGTCAGCTCATGATAAAATATTTCAACCGATCAAAGGTAATAATACTTTTAAACTTGTTTTGAAAGTCTGAAAATGTAAATATGGAGAAACAAAATTAAGCAGAAGTGATTAGAAAATAGTTACGTAATATGTAAAATAATTTTTAAACGAAGACAGGTGCAAAAAGGATGGGCATAGAAAAAAAACGGAAATTATAGTGTTTATAACCGAAAGGGAAAAATGATAGGAATGAAAAAACTACAGCTAAGGAGCCAAATAAAATTAGATCGATGATAAATGTGCAGGTAAATTTTGGTCCCTTTTCAACACACCTCCGGTTTGTCGATGTGTATGGTAAGGGATTCTGCAGTACAAATAAATGGAAAACACACTTTCTTTGGTAGATTTTTGTTCGCTTCGTAAATGACTCTGAATGATTAGTCAGCTGTAATATCTTGTGACGAATGCTGACGAAATGCTAGAGCCTGTAAGGTGACAATTATGTAAATGCTTTCTTGGAGACACTTCCGAATTTATTGGTTGTCTACAAGATCTGAATGTGAGTGTGACAAACGTGTGTTATCACAGAAACAGTCTGTTTCCTGTGCAAATATACAGATGGCAAGAATCTAAACATTGAGATACCGATTGTAACTATTAAAAATGCGATGGTGCAGCTTTCAAGGAGGAAATCTTTACTGAGCTTCTTATTCTTTTCTCTCTAAATAGAGTTTAACAAACGAGAATGTATTTGTAAAGTAAATTAACTCAATGAATTTGATTAATTGTGTCCTATCATCATATGCTTCACTTAATAATACTCTTCATATTTTCAATTATGCTCAAGTCATGCTCACACATTAACATTTGCATCAATTACCACTGATCTCATGATACTTATGTATATATATATATATATGCCTTAAATCTATAGGTATCAATGTATGGTTGATTCTTATTTTTCTATCCCCTAACATTTGGACTCATTTAATAATTTTCAAGTATTGGTTTTGTAGGGATTTTGTTTGATTACATGGAGGATTTCATCATGAGCTGACATTAGTTAGAGAACCATTGGGAAATCAGCAGGGAGTACTGGACAGCTGTGTCGTCCTAGTTTGGGACTCTTCAGCAGTACGCACCTACCGGGGTTCGAACCCAGGACCGTCTGGTTACAAGGCTAGCTCCTAGACCATGAAACCACTGAGAACCGATACAATAGCCGGCTCATGAATTCTAACTTCTGCCAATTCATGACATATCGCGATCACTTCGCAATGTCTTCTTCGATGAGTTACCGCTTCACCTTCAACCTGATGCACCCTACTGGTCACGGCTTCCCACTAGAACCCCAGGTTACTGCCTGAATAGGGCCATTCGCTAGTGAGCATTCCAAACTAGGACAAAAGAAACAGCTGCCCAGTACTCCCTGCAGGTTTTCCAATGGTTCTCTAACCGATGTCACCTCATGATGAAATCCTCCATTTAATAATTCCTATTGTTTTATAAAATTATGCAAATCAACTTTACACATCAACACATTCATCTAAAGTATTAATCAATTGGCTGAAGAGACTCATAACCATAATTTCAAAACGTATTAGGTAATTACAGAAGAATAAAGCATGGGTTTTCATCTGATCTGATGCACAGTAGTATTGATTGAAGATATTCACAGTGAAGAGCAAATACACCTCATCGAAAGCATATAACATCATAACAAAAATATATATTTTTTATATTTTGAGGTCATGCACTTTATTCAATGTAGGCAGCATGTGAGTTGTGATCACAGTTGAAATGGTGTAGTACCATGATGTTTTTTTTGTTTGTAGTACTCATGTACTTTAAGACCGCTTTACAGATATCCAGTGTTTTGAGGTTTCTTATCCATTTACCATCTTAACTAAAAGTTCACATGGATTGTGTTATGAGAGTGTGTGGAAACCAAAAAGAATTCTGTAGTAAACAGTTTAATATATTTTTTTAAATGAGGTGATGTTTTCACTATTATAAAAGCTTTTTTATTTCTCAGTGAATTAAAAAAGCACAAAGTTGTGTGGCTTTTACTGAAGTTTCTTTGTTTAATGGTATTAGCTTTGTTTTTACGAGTTGATCACGGATTGATATCAGTTAGAGAACCATTGAAAACCAGCACCGTAATACTGGATAGCTGTTTCATCCTAGTTTGGGAATCATTGGCAGTACGCACCCACTGGGGTTCCAACCCAGGACCTTCCGGTTACAAGGCAAGCTCCTATACCTTTCGGCTTTATCGAAGTGATTTTTACTAGTATTCCTTTGGGTTCCGATCGGAACATAGGGTTTCAGGAGGACACTTCCACTTCATCCTGTTTTCTGCATCCCTTTTTATCTGGCGTCACGATTGTTGATAAGCTCTTATCTCCTTCATTTCACCTTCGGACGCTGAACTTGTCGTTCCCTATTCCGGTTCCACTCGAGAACCTGACGCATGATATAACTCAAAGGTGTCTGCTTAGAGTGTATCTGATCCATCTCCATTTGTTTCAGGATATTTGTTGGGCGATAGGTTGGTTCGTTGCCTGTCGGAGATCCTTTCTGGTTAGCCATCTGATCTTCATTATGTAGCTAACACAGTTGTTGGTAAAAATCTGCAGCAATCTGTTGGAAAGGATTTCCGTGACGTGCTAAGTCTCTGAACCACATGGAATCACACCGACTTACATGAATGGTGAAAATCCGAATCTTGTTCCTTATGCTGAATGCAGCAGAATTCCTGGCTGATTTCATATTGGTGAAGGTCTTCCTTGCCTATCCGATCCTGTCTCTGACATGTTCCTCCGTTCCATCTGTAATTGAAACGAGGATGCTTAGTTAAGTGAAAGAGGTGTCCTTCTTAAAATTTCCCCCATTCATGGTGGTTAGTGTTTGTTGTTTTTAGTTAGGTATCTCTGTCAACACCATCTTCTCTATTTGACCTGAAATCCTGTCTTTGCTGCTTCTTGTGACAACTTGGTTTTCACTTATAGTGGGTGTATAGATCATATATTCACTCTAATACACATTTTGTAACATACGCGTACTTACTGGCGTCGAGAAATTGTCACATCTCATGATCTGAAGGCGGTATTCCACTCGGTTGACAGAGAGATACTATGACAATGTTTGGTCGTGAAGATATTGCCCAGAAACTACATCGCACTAATCAAGATGCTCCACTCGAACTCATGCAGCCGTGTAAAAGCTTACGGATTGTTGTCATCTGAAGTAATGACAACCAGTTTTGTCCACCAGGTATGCCTGTTGTCCCTATTCCGTTTAATGTCATCATAGATGTACTAATGGAATTAACCTTAACTGACTTTAGCGACTCAGGGGTTGACTTGTTACCAGGGTATAATCCCGTTGACTTAGAATGTGCAGATGAAATAGTCTTCCCTCCTAAGTGAAGACGCTGACAAAATGCAGAGTCCTCTGAACACCTTGAGCAGCAATTTTCGAAAGTTTGACATGCGATTCGCTCCCATCAAATGTAAAATGCTGTTGCAGGACTAGACTACACTGACTCCTAGCTTCAAGATGAGGAGTAAAGTGGTAGAGAGTGTGGACCACTTCACTTACGTAGGAAGTTCTATCAGTCCCACTCTGTCGATTGCTGACGAAATGCCAACACGGATACAAAAGGCTCGTGTGGCATATGCCAACTTACCCCATCTCAGGCGTAGACGTAATACTCAGCTTTCTGTCAAAAGACATGTGTACTGCTCAGCATTTCACGCCATCCTCCTTTTTTGGGTGTGAGACATGGCCATTGAAGGTGGAAGATATTAAAAGGCTAGCTGTCTTCGATCATAGGTGTCTGAATTCTATCTGTCTTGTTAGTTGGCACAATGGAGTGAGTAATACTGAGGGGAGGCGTCGAGTGTTAGGCAAAGAAGGGAAATTAATCGATGAGGTTGTGATTGGGGTATGTGTTACTCATGCCTAGACATCGCTTTCTTCAACGGGCAATGTTAGCTGACATGGGATTAGGTTGATAAATAGCTGCAATCAGGAACATCATTATGCAGTCTCGTCTTACTCCTATCTTCACTTTAAAGGTGTCGCTGTGTTTTCCGTTGTGATTCACTTGACATGTGACATTACCATATATATGTTGAATGAGGATGCATTTCTTCACGAACAGACACTATTCACAAACCTGCCTCATTGTTTTCCATTAAGTATTTCGGTTTCTAATTTTAGTTTCGTGTAGTTAGGTATTTGACTTGAAAGTCCCTTGTTGAGATTTTCAAGTAGAAGTACATCACTTGTATCCTTCCAGAGTTAAAGTGTTACATTTTTTGTGTATTTTGGTGATAAGACGCTATCATCAAACTAATCTGATTGTAATACAGACAGTTTCACTGGGATGTATTCGGCTTTGTCAGTGAAGATGGTCAAGTAGACAAACTTCTATAATATTTTCGTTAGCTTTAAATGGAAACCACATACATTTGGATAGTGTGAAAATCTTGAGGATCAAATTTTCTCTCTATGCAATACAATAACTTGTAGTTTTTACTGATTGTAAATGCAACTGTGGTATTTTTTTTAATGATTTGATGTATCGATATGTTAACCTATTTTATTCTTATCCCTGAATTACTCAGTAGCTTGTGACGAGTACGATGCCTCAGAACATTCAAATGAAAACGTGGAAAAACATATACAACTTGCTAAATTGCAAAGTTTCTCTGGCTTATGGAATTTCAATACTTCTCTGTGTGAATGCTTTGGAGTGCCTATGGATGATCTCTCAACTCATTTAAAAGAACCAGGTATTTAAAATAGTTTTCAAGTATTGGTTTGTAGGGATTTGATTGACTGGTTACAGGATTTCATCATGAGCTGACATCGGTTAGAGAACCACTGGAAAACCTGCAGGGAATGCTGGAACTCCTCAGCAGTACACACCTATCGGGGTTACAACCCAGGGCCTTCTGGTTACAAGACGAGCTGGCTCGTAGACCTTTAAGCCAATGGGACCCGATCCTACGGTCCATGAATCCCAAGTTCCACGAATTCACGACATAGCTTGACCACTAGCCAATGTCTTCAGGGAGTATTTGTCCTCACACCCAACCTGCTGCACCCTACTGGTCACGACTTCCCACTAGAACCAGGGTAACTGCTTACCTGAATAAGGCCCGGTCGTTAGTGAGCGTCTCGTTGATATTCACGTATTAGTTTGTAGGGATTTGATTGACTGGTTACGGGATTTCATCATGAACTGCCATCAGTTATTTTGTAAACATAAGGTTTTTTTAAATATTTCATCTGATCTACAATACAGTCTTAATAGTAACCTCAATATTGTGCTCAATACTGTTTGTTTACAGGAATTTATCAATATCCACAGATTAACCGCTACTGTATCCGAAATTGATGACGTCTCATCCAGTCAAACAAACTAATTATTCATCATATAATTCTTTTGGGTGGAATAGATGTTTTTCACTTTAACAAGAAGTGATATAACGAAAACGTGTTGTGTTAAATTTACAACAACTTATCTATCTTCATTATTGTGAAGTTCATTTTTTCTCACAACATATGAGTTAATATCACAGATGGTTGGAGTAGTCTTTTGTAAAGCAGACTGACACATGTAACTACAGATTTTATCATCTTATCTGAAATGACTATATATATATATTTGTGATCATTAACATTTTTCTCTGTGCGTCGGTGACACAGAGGTAGAGTGTTCGCCGACCACGCAGGTGGTCCAAAGTTCGATCCCCGGCTGCCGACGCACTCCTTTATCTCGCTAAGCCAGTAGTAAGACTGGTAAAAAGGGAAGGTTGAGCATGAGGCTAGCTAGCAACCCCATCCTGTAAAAATAATCACCACCACTGCTACAGAAACTTCAAGCCTCTAGCTTGAAGCCCTATGTTCCACTGGGAACGTAAAGGAATATGAAAAAAATTACAATTAAGAGAGAGGATTAGATTTTTTTAAATATTTTTGCCTTACCTTGATTTATAAGGGAGAATCGATTGACACCTAAACTATCCACTTAAGTGACATGTGTACTTTTGAACATTCTCATGACATGTGGACCTGTCATACATATATAAAAGTTATTTGAGTACAAAAGGTCAACAATAAAATCAATGGAGGTTAACATCAAAGATATAAGTAACAGATTATAATAGTAACAATAACCCTTAGCTTCAAAACTGAATTACCAAGTTGGGGTTCAGTATAATAACGAACAGTAATGATGAATATGTGAAACAAACCTGCTTTGTTCCTTGATGTCTATCTTTTTTCTACAAATGTCCTATAGTTGCATACAAACTACATTTTTGGATGTCTACGTATATATATATATATATATATATATATATATATATATGTAGACATATATATATATATATATATACAATATGTTGAAAATCTAGCTAGTGAAAAGCCTATTTTTAATAGAGATACGTGAATGATATCCCAGTGATCTGTAACACTGACGGTTGCTATAGTAACCCTGAGATGATCAACACAATACGAAATTTCATTAACATGTGTGAAACAGTATAATGGCTGTCTACCACTGTTTTAGATGTAATCATAATTCGCTGACATGACAGGTCATTATGATTGTATGTCTGCAAGGTGTGACATTACCAAAATTACTATAGTTTATGGCTGTCCTGATATAAAAGGCCATTAGTTCAGATATTTGTTCTCACGTTTTCAATCCATATGTACTGAGGTTACTTTTGAAGAAGGTGCACGAAATTAATTTAACTTTATAGGTGTGTCAGTCAAGAGGCCGCGATAATTCATCTAGCCTTAAAACGGTGATCTTTCTCGAAGTCTGATGACAAAATAAAGACAGTAGTATTCTATGGCACGTCCTATGCAGCCGAACTTACATTTTTACAGAAGACGAGACTTATGTTGTCCTGTAAAACTGTCACAACATTTGAACGATAACGTCACATTCCATTACCTTTTTCGAATTTACTTATGTGCTTGGTTACAAATGCATACGGAGAATCTATTGATTTCTGACACTTGGGATGTTTACATGACACATTCCTAAAGAACTACTAAGGCAAATTGAATCATCTTACCTAAATGACCTTGCAAATATATGCCTACCATCAATCTTTCTCGGGGCAAATTATAAAGACTGAAAATTTGAAGTTGTTTTCAACACTTCTTTAAAACGTCTTCTTGTTGTTTTGTCGAGATTCATAAAGGGAACTAATTGCTTTAAATATTCGGTTAGCATCTTTACACCATACTTTAGTGTGCTTTTCTTCTCAGCTCTTCTCATTCACTTGAGAACTCTTACCCGATGAACTTCGGGTTCAAATCTGTTCCAGCTAACTGAGTTCTAACTAACTCTCATTTCGGTGTGTTAGACTTCATTTCCTGAATAAGGGTGTGTACAAGTAAAATGTAGGCTAGTATAAATCGTTTTCTGTTTATCTCAGTGTTTGTTATTACGACTTATCATTACTATAGTCGTTATTAGTCTGACCTTATCCATAAAGTCTACTCACTTTCTGTTTTAGGCAAATCTCCATTTTTGACAGAAACCACATGGGGAACTGCTTTGGCCATAGCATATTTGGAGTCATTTATCCCAGAGAAGAAGGATGAATGGTGTCTATTAGTTGAGAAGGCGAAAAATTGGCTTTTAACACAAGCAGAGAGTCATAAAGTTCCATCAAAGAAACCCAGCGAACTGTGTGATGAGCTTATTGTGAAGGCGGAAGATGCACTAACCAAATTGTTGAAAAAAGCTACCTCCAGTTAGTTTCTCTGACAGAAAGAAGCTTCATTTGCCTGCTTACTTGATTTCTTTCTCAATACTCTGTTTTTTTAAATTAATATTTGAAATCATGTATCTTTTATTTTGAAATACCTGACTTCTGAGTATTGTTTTTTTATATTTTTACTCTGCTTTGTGAGGATTTTATTCTTTAACAAAATGACACATACATGCGACGTATTTTGTTTTTTTTTATTCCTAACGCAATTGCTCATTTTATAATAAATATTTTGAGTATATCCTGGTTTTTGTTCGACTTTTCATAGGTTAACTTGATACGCTTTCACGTCCACGTTTGTAGTACAGTGAAAATTCATCTTCATCATCATTTGGATGGAACTAAATTGTGTGGCTGAACAAAGCTGACTTGATTTACTATTTTTTTTAAACTATCTGTTGTTAGTGTAACTAAGTGAAGTGCCTTACTTATAAGTTAAGAATCGGAATTCAGATAAATTATAAAAACACTCCTTGTTTGTGAAAGCGGAAAAACAAAATGCAGTCGTTGAATTGCTTACTGATTGTCACTCACTTCGGATGCCAAGCTGCTGAGCTTGACTTGTAAAGCTGTTAAATTTAGCCTTAATTGTTTCTCGCATACTTACTTAGACTAGTTTGATGCTGTCTGTTTTGAGTTATTCTCCTCGTCTAGTTTACTGGTCTATCCTAAACCTGGGAAAGTTGTTAATTTGAGTGTGGGGCAAGCCACGCAACCCTGTTAACAACAACCCTATTGTTATTGTAACATTAAAATTCAGAAGAAATAAACCTTGGATGAATTAGGTATCAATACGGAATTGTAAATGTCTTTCTTGTTAATGCGGATTATGATTTCGGTTTAGTTGTAAGTATGGAAAGGAGAGTTCATAACTTTATTTCAAAACCAACATATTTTTAGTGCTATCAATGTAACTTCTAATTATTGATTAAGAGTAGTAAACTGTTCTCGAATCCTTATGCGTTGGTTAATGCTGCATCATTGTGTGGTATACCAGACAATCTTATTTAATAACATCTAATTTACAACCACTCGATTTGACAGTTTCACTGAGAATTGCGTTGCTAGAGAAAAGTTTATTTCACATGACATACGTGAATGGCATCATAGGGATCTGTAACATTGACTAATGCCAGAGAAACTTTTAATCGAATAAAGACGAAATAGTGTATCGTTAATATGTACAAAGGAATCTAATAGCTATTCAGCATTTTTAGCTGTAACCATAATTCAGCTACACGACTGATTTTAATATGATCCGTCGCCAATTTTGATATGACTGTTAATACACTTGTGTTTGCGCTAACAAATTTCCTATCTAATCAATTCGCTAGCCTAGTGTTATAACCACTATTAGCAATAACAACCGATAAGATACCACCGAAAATGCGATGCAAGAAGAGAAGTCTGACGTGAGCAGCTTTTACCATCTCGTATCAACAGAAAAAATACCTGACGTCGCTTGCGAATGTATATATACGCATTAAAATGACCCTGAGAGAGATTAATGACATTGATGAATTAAAACAGTTGACAACCAATAGGATTTCAAAAGTCATAAATGGGGTGAGAGAAATGTAAACAGATATGCAGGAAATTAGGTCTATATATCAGGTTTATAAGACGAGGAGTATCTAAATTAACACAGTTTATGTTCACTGCAGTATTTAAGGGTGTTTGTTAAATGTTTGTGCAGATATACTGAAGATACTGTTGAAGAAGTTGCTCAAAACCTCAATTTAAAAAAATAGTATTAGATAACAGTTATCCTCCTACTTTGAAAAAGGTTTCGACAGCAATGACTTCCCTACTGAGTGTACTGCTCAAACATTTATAAACCCAACGCAAAAGTTGTATGATGATGCCACATGCCAATAAATCCACAACGGAAAGCTCACTGAAGTGTTTGAAGGGAAGACAGGAGTCAGACAAAGCTGTTTACTGACACCGATAGTATTCCTGAATGCAATGAGCTGGCTTTCATAGTTGGTTTAGTAGGTCTGGCGATTCAAGAGAAGATCTGAGTATTTTACTGAGCAGTTTCTAGATTTCTCTTCTGATTTTCAACATATCAAGGTTTTAATAGTTTCATGCACATATTATAAATGGTATGCAGCAAAATTACTATTTGCTTCCAAATTTTGACTAATACAGTTATCAGCCGATGTGAGTGTCATCATTTACCTAATCTGTATCTGAAATTAAAACTGCTTTCAGAAAATAAGTAACTGAACAACGCATATCAGAGTATGAGACGTTTTATCATCTCCAAAATTTAAAATTATGTGAATACTTACGAATAAAAGTTAGTTATCTTTGATAGATAATGAGTCTACGTCTGACGTATTTTGCTTAAGAATTGTTTCATTTTAAGGAAGTACTCAGAAATTGTGCATTTCATTGAATACAAATGACGGTTCAGTGTGCACGGTATTTTTTACATCAATGATTTGTTCTTTACGTTTTTCACTCCACCCTCTTCGAAAATATAATATATCTAGACTGATATTATGATGAATCAAATTCACAATTTGTGAAGGTGTTCTCAATTTTCATAGTTCGAGGCTATTATTCCACCATAGTTTCTTTTGGAAACTGAAATTATTGAGATCACAATGTATGGTCGGCTTGATATCATTAGCAGTAAACAAGAAACCAAGCACAAATGCGTCACGTTATATACTACTGAAGAATGAAATTAGTAGTTGGGTACCGCCCACATCACCCAGTAGTGATTACTAGCCAGATCAAAGTGATCTAAACACCAGGCACCCGTTTCTCTCTTCTAGGGATGAGTTCATCAGCGGTGTACTAGGTTTGACTCATCTCAGAGAGAGTTGAATTTGTTGAAATCCCAGTTCACTCATATTATTGTGTGTTTCAATGGATTACTGTCTTGCCTTATAACATCAGCCCAGAAAATGTCAGTAGTATACAATACCATACTTTACCTACCTGGGAAGCATCGTTTCAACTACAGGCGGAACTGATGAGGATATCAAAACAAGAATCGGAAAAGCAAGACACCCTTTCACTACTCTCAAGTCTGTGTGGAGGTCAACAGCACTCAGCATCAAAAATAAGATCCAGATTTTCAACTCCAATGTGAAGTCAGTGCTACTATACGGATCAGAGACTTGCACTACGCGTCATAAAGAGCATCTCAAACAAACTACAGACCTTCATTAACAGTTGTCTTCGCTCAATACTCAAGATCAGATGGCCGGCCAGAAAAGATCAGCAACAGAGATCTCTGGGAGCAAACCAACTCAGCAGGAAACGATTGTGAAACAAATAGGCAGGAAGAAATGGAGATGGATTGGCTGGCCATACTCTGAGGAAACCATCAAGTGACATCACTAGACAAGCCATTGCTCGAGTGAAACCTGAAAGGGAAGCGGCGAGTTGGTTGTCATTGCGAGGGTGACTTGGAGGAGGTCATGTGAAGAGGAGATGGAAACGTGTGGGCAGACATGGAGCCAGGTGAAGACTCTAGCAGAGAACCGAACGCAATGGAGACGCACGGCTGAAGCCCTATGTTCTTTTAGGAATTAAAGGAAACAATAATAATAATAATGCAATACCATTAGTTTATTTGATTTGGAATAATGAAAACGTTGTTTTAATCTATTTCACAGCATACTTTAAATCTTAAATTATTGCTTACTCTTTACCATTAATTTCACTAATTATTTGATTTCTAAAAGGGACATTCTAGAAAATACACCAGCTATCTATATCATTAGGTCACATTTTATCCACGTGACTACGCATACAATTGGTTAGATATTTAGTGTATTTCTCAATGTTATAGGTATCATATTCATGAAGGAGTGAAAAATTAGCGAAACGAAACAACAAAGATATTTCATGCTGTTAGTTAGTCCACTTTGAATGTGTGCCTATATTTTGCAGGTGAAAATGTGGTCAGAATATTAAAAACTAAATGATTTCTATTGACACTACAAAAATGAATGATCGTCATCGAGATATTTTGATAAAAATTTCTCTTGACAGACTAGTCCTAATGTAGTAAGATTATACTCATAGTTGAAAGGAAAATTTTGTTTGCGATAGAATAAGGACTAGCTATTTGTGCAGTATCTCCGCAGAAAACTGACTTTCGCGACTCAGTGATTGCAACTGTTTACTATATGAATAAGCCATATGCACATGTTCTGTGGTTATCATAAACTGATATACTGGACAAAGTGTTCTCATTCCAGTTTCAATACGCACAGTGGTTAGGACTCTCGCCGACCATGCACATGGTTTGGGGTTCGATCACCTGCCGACGCACACCCAATATCTATGGTCGGCCTGTGAAATTTGGGCTACCGATACCCATGCTGAAAATTCCATACTTGTACTGAAAATAAGGTGTGGCATCAAGCTGTAATCAAAAATTAAAAAAAAAATTAAATTAAAACAGAGTGGGTGTGGACATTTATAACACCGAAATAGTCAAGAACCTGTTACCTGACAAAATTTGCAGAAGGAAATAGAGATGGAGTGGACTTTTGGTGTGGAGACATTCAAGTGAAATTACATGCTAGGCAGGCCGTTGAGTGAAACCAGAATGAAATCTGATAGGTTAGGTATCTGAGGGTGATACGGTAGAGATTCTGTAAAGAAGAAATGAAAAAATTGTGGACAGTCGTTGGCCGTTCAGAAGTAATAAGAAAGACCAGAGTATACAACATGGATGTGCCTTGGAATACAAGGAATGTTAATTCATGATCTATGGAGTGATATGCACTGTGAAAACAGAATATCAGACAAATCACTTGATGAAACTGTCTGCATTAGTCTTAGTGTTTTAGTCCGACGTTGCTGTAAAGGATAGTTATTAAGGGTGGAGCGATAAAAGCTGAGTTGCGGCATGCTACAAATTCGTCTTAATGAAGAAGCATACCTAAAAACGCGAAACAATCAAAGTAAAAATTGATATAAATTTCATAAGACAGGTAGTAATACCAAGACGAATATGAGTTAATGAAAGAAAACAGACTGTTTGGGTTATGTGGAAAAGTTAACAACCGGTATCACTTGATACGCTAACAGGATAAGTAGATTAAGAAACCGGGATTACTTTTGAATACATACCTAGACAGTGAAACTTTGAATCAGATTTCTTTGAACTTACAGAAGAGAATGATGCTTTTACTAAGCGATCTACTTAAATGTTATTATGATAAAAAGAAACGCCTTCAGAAATTAGTTCTTTCTCATAAAAACTCT